GTCAAATCCGGTGATCCAGAGAACATCTGCTTTCATTTGTGGCCTTTCTCAATGTGCTTCTGAGTTTGGAATTGCTGATTGTCTTCCCATTTTTGAAGCCATCATCTCCTTGGGCATATGGGTCACTGTCTTCTCTCACTTCTTAGAGTACCTGTATGCCACTTCATTCTTATCTTGCACAGGCTCCGTTGCTGGGTGTAGCTCTTGCATGTTCTTGGTCATGCCAACCATCACTCTTGTCATACCTCTTGCATGTTCTTGGTCATGCCAGCCATCACTCTTGTCATACCTCTTTCTTGGTCTCCAGGCCATCACAGCTAATGCCGTATGAATCTACCTATCTGTGTCCCCGAGGTCACACCTAGCATGTCTTAACTTGACTCCATCTGCAGCATCCTCTCAGTTTTGGAGGATGTCCTTGACTTCTCCCCCAATCCTTTCTATTTAACAGAGTATCAATTCATGTTGACTATCTTTCTCAGAACTATGTGGTACTTGCTTTCTATGTACATATGTTATTTCTTCTTGTATAATCATGTATAGTTCTACCTGCTCCTTCTTCCTAAATAGCCTTGAGTAATGTACTCCTCCACCCCATTTTGGCTCACACCTTCTTCTGTGTGTCCTTTCCCCAGAAAAATCAGTATTAAAATAATCCTTGAATACATTGTCTGTTCAAATTATCCCCACAATAGCAGACTTGCTGCAGTTAATCAGTCTTAGAAGCTTTGCGGGATATGATTGCACTACTTAGTAACTTAGGTACCCAATTCGTTACTACTTTGAAAACACATTGGGATGTGATATTGATTAAAGGCAATGTTAATTATTTTATCATTTTTAAGTGATACCTATCATCATCTCTCTATAAATTTCCTCTCTCTCTCTCTCTCTCTCTCTCTCTCTCTCTCTCTCTCTGTCTCAGAAAAGTTAGATACTATGAACAAGCAAGAGGAAAATAAAATCATATAAAAGTCTATTACCTGGAAGTAGATAAATACCACTAACGTGTTGACACAGAACTTCTCAGTTTGCTCTCTAAATTTTTAATTTTGGTGAAAAAAGAAGGCCAAGGCTGGGGAATGGTCTCTGCTGGACTGTTCTTTGTGACTCTAATCAGTCCTGAGGTGCCAGGACTGGGGATTCACGGCAAACATGACCTGGAGCTGAGTGTTCACATCTACCAACTCTATCTGATGGCCAGAGATTCAGTAGCACCATTAACAGTGATCTTTTTTTGTCAGACATGGTTTGTACCAGGATAGTTCTTAGCTCGAGCTGCTACAACAGATTTCCCCAGACTTAATGGCTTAAATGACAGAACTTTATCTCTCACACTTCTAGAGCCTAGGAAGTCCAAGATGGATTTGTAAGTAGAATTACTGTCTGATGAGGGCCTGATTTTGGGTTTGCCGATCCCTGTTTTCTGGTTGTATCCTTCTAGGACAGAGAGCAGAGAGGAAGACAGTTCCTTTGGGCCTTTGCGTAAGGGCATTAACTCCATTCACAAGAGCTCCACTACCACAATTGTTGACCCTCCAAAGGCCTTATTCCTAACCCTGTCACACTAGGATTTAGGATTTCAACTTGCAAATATTTGAAGAAAATCACATTCAGCCTATATACTGGGTAGTTACTCTTCTTTGAACCAAGACTGTAGATAGTAGTCTGGTATTTGGAAAGGGAGCCAGGAACTCTGTGAAGTTCACACAGAGTAGCAAGTTCCTAAGTCTCCTCTTGGTGAATAAGTGGGATACAGAACAAGAATCAGGCAGGATACCAGGGCAAGGATAATGTAAAGACAGTAGCTGTTTGGGCATGAGGGAATCTATGAGTTCATGCAGGGGCATGGCAACCAAAGTCTAGAGTGTCAGGGCTAATTCAAATCACCTCCTACTAGAGACTGAGTTCTTAAAGCATTGTCAAACTGGATAAATTTTGTCTGGAAACCAGGAAGAATTTAGCTGCCAGGTAGAAAGACTTGGTAACTGTAACTATTTGGGGCTGGAGAAATCAGGGATTGAGAAATCCCAAATGCTTTGGAGTGGTGAGATCCCACCACAATCTATTTCCTTCGGTGACCCATTTCACTGTTGTGTGCCATATGTCTATACAAAATAATTAAAGCTAATTAAAATTAATTTTGGTTGGTGAGTATTTGAAGAGTTTCATAATAACTCTTCAGATAATTAGAGATGCGTTGGGATGCCACAGAAGGAGCATTCAGAGCAACTGGGCTAGATGTTTAAACTAGAAATGTGCAGCTAAGGCTCTCAAGAGAACGACACCTCTGTAACCGAAGTAGCAGGGAGCTCAGAACTAAGAGTCCAGGCTCGAACTCAGTATGTTGGTACATGGGTTCACTGAAAAACAAACAAACCGTCTTTTCGAATAGCATTCACCAGTGTCTGTGGAGTAAATGCCCACAGCATAGTGAGTTTTGAATTACCTCTGTTTTAATGAGCAGATCACATAACTCTTGAATATTTCATACTTGGCTCTAGGAAGCAGTGTGTAAGGCAACTAGCTCTAGCATATCAACACACTTCTCACTGGTGTCTGTTTAACTTTGTAAAATCTTGGGTAAATCACTCTTCTGTAGTTTTTAGTTTTATTTTATTTTTTTTAATTGAAATTGCTTAAATGATTTCTGAGATTCTTTTCAGTGTCAGCACCCCAGGAATGTAGGTGTTGTTGTAGGGTGAGTCTGATGCCATCTCACAAGCTGAAAGAATTGTGTCAGTTTTATGACTGCCATTGCCATATATAAAAGCAGAATGTGAGATAGAGCCTGTTTGATAATTAACAGTGTTCTGATTCCTGCTGTCAGTGTGTGTGTGTGTGTGTGTGTGTGTGTGTGTGTGTGTGTGTGTGAGTGTGTGTCCTTCTCCAGTGCCTCTTCCAAGAGGGATCAAAAGCAATGATACAGTCACTGGCAAGCCAGACCTCGTGGTCTCACATGGTAAGAAACCACTGTCTACACTCTGAGGGTTTTATGCTCTCTTGTTAGGTGCTAGGATTCAGGTTAGTGGCTGAAAGAAAATCTCATGGCTTAGATACACTACCTGTCTCACCACAAGACCAGATAATGGTGTTTTCCCCTAGAACAGGAACTACATGAAAAGCTAATTTGTTCTAAGTGACCTGAAAGCAAGGACAGTATCTTTTTATATTTATATGGGCAAATGTTGGCAAATAAGAATCTTTTTGACTTGGTTGGTGGTGAAGGCCTCAAATTGTAGTTCCTCAGGAAGGTGAGTTGAGGAATAGCATCTTCAGGGTCTACCTTGTTTATGGAGTGAGTTCAAGGCCAGCCTGGGCAAATTAGTGATACTGCCTTCTCAAAAACAGGGCTGAGGATATAGCTCGTTGGTAGGGCTCTCTCTTAGCATGTGTGAGTGCTTGGTTTAATATGTAACGTGACAAAACAAACAAGTTTGTTGAAAGAATCAAAACCAGGCCTACCTATAGGAAGAAGTAAAATTTAAAACGTACATTCCAAAGGAGATATGGTGTACTCTATGCTTACCTTAGCAGCATGAAGAAATACATTTTTCAAATGTAAGAAATTCCTTTCTTGTGAGTACAAATTTTTCAGTGCCTTCAGTTCAGCCCTGGGACTTAAATCTGCCCTTCAGTTGGAACATAGAGTTTGACCGCACAAACTCACTGGGGAAACATGTAGAAACCAGGGGGAAACCAAGGCCTCCAGGTATTTGCTCCCCACCTGTCTTAGTGTGAGCTCTGGAAAGGCTTGCTCTTAGTGTGGACTTGCTTGTAGCTCATGTACTTCCCTACACCTGCTCCTCTTGGTGAGCCTTGTCAGCTAAGCCTTAGAAAAAGAAACTGAGACTGGGAGAGGCTGAGCGATAGAGCCAGCCACTGGCAGAGCCACACATTCACACCCCAAAGGTGGCACTCTGCCCCACAGACCAGGCTGCCTCAGGCCATTCTGGGCTTCCTTTCCCTAGTGTCCCTCTTCCCTATTTGTTGTTGGGAGTTGGATGTATTCTCACAGGAGTGCAGCTGGCTCAGTCCACGACCAGGCAAACAGAAGCACCAATCCCTACCAGGTTCTGAGCAAATATGCCAAGTCAGGACTGTCCCAGCCTGTGGTAGCGACACTGTACTTTGCCCTAATGAATCAGCTCCATGGAGGCCCGGCAGTCGCAGAGGTAACTAATCGGCTGTAGGTTTGAAGGCCAGGTGAGTCTTGGTAGATGTGGCATCTGGACTTTGTTAGTCTCTTAGAGGGGAGAAGGCACTCCCGGCAGGTCCCTGGAGCCACGGGGAAGGAAGGTGGGAAGCCGGCAGAGCAGGTGCGTGGGGACACTGACACCCTTCTTTCCCTGGAGTTTGCTTGCTGGGCTGTCAGAGTCAAAAAGGTGCAATTGTCTTTGTTGAGTCAAGGGGTCACTTCTGTGGATACAAAGCTGTGATTGTTCTTATAGACAGAATTCCTTCATTTTAAGACTCTTAGAGGTTTGAAAATAACTACCACTAATTATAACCCGAGGTCTAAACTATTGGAGTTTGTGACCCTTGGTGACAGAATGAAGTACTATCAAAGGAAAGATCAGGATTGTGCCTTTGTAGTTGGGGCCAGGATGCTTAGTGCAAAGTCTGGGGGCAAGTGAATCGATTACTTTTCAATTCCTTCTTCCTTGTGTCCAAGTGCCATTGTGTTTTGTGGGTTTTTAGCAAAGGATCCTTGTATAGTACTAAGGGTATTAGGCCCTTCCTGGAATTTGCTGGCAAAGTTTTTGTTATGACTGTGTTTTTCGAGGAAGCAAGAGAGGAAGGCCTGAGGTCCTAAGTTATGAGTGACCTGGAAGCAGAAGGCCCCTCTCTGGCCTCTTCTCACAGTTCCTGCCTCACTGCTCTGGACCCAAGTTCCACTGTGGTATTCAAATGGGGTAATCTTGATTTCACCATGTGACCCTTTGACCTTTTTCTCTGATAAGAGTTTTCAGCTGAATGTGGAAGCTTCCAGACTAAGGGCAACTAGCAGGTTTGATCAGAATCATGCTGCCATGAACATTCCCAAGTGAAGAGAATGGGGGCTGTCCTTGCCTGTGCATGCTGGTGGCCCAGCAGACTCTCTGAACAGGGGCAGGACCTGGCTGTGCTTTCCCCTGTTACACGTCCCTCTGCTGTGCAAGCAGAGGAACTGGGAAAGGGCACTGGTCCCTGAAGCTGCTTCTCATCTGAGTAATGAGTGGGAAAGCTAGTCCGATGTGAGAGGAACTTTTAGGTCTAAATGCTTCAGTAAGAAAGAGCTTGTAGGCCTGGCTCTCCATTTTCCAGTATCAGCAGCCCCAACTTGTGTCTGTTGGCTTTCCCAGAGGAAGGGTAAGTCTTTCATGGGATCAGTTTAAATAGGTGTGTGCATGTGCATGTGTGTGTGTGTATGTGTGTATGTGTGTGTGTGTGCGCATGTGTGTAGAGTAGACAGAGGTCAATATTGAGTGTCTTCCTCTATTGCACTCCATATTATTTTTTGAAAGAGGGTCTTTTACTGAATCCGAAGCATACTGTCTCACAGAAGCACCGAGTTAGGTTTTTCCATGTGTGTGCGAAGGATCCAAATTCAGGTTCTTGTGTTTATGCAGCGAACAGTTAGCCCAGTGACAGGTCTCCCTCCCTAGACCGACAAAGTCTTCAGTCATTCCTACTACCCTAGGCTTGGCTTCTGAAGACACGTACTGTGATGGAGTGAACAATTACCATGTACAAGGTAGTTCTAGGCACTTTCCATACATCCTGTTTAGCTTTGACACTCACCCCGCAGCACTAGCCTGTAGTATCTAGCATCTCCATGGGTAAGGGGATTGAAGCTTAAAAAAAGTATTCAACCGGTGAGAGATATAGAAAGGATTTGAACTCTGACCAGCTCCTCACAAGGCTTACTCTATTTCTGATACCTCAGCAATCCGTTTGAAGTGTTGTATAAATATTTGCTGGTGGGATAAATGCGGAAACATTAATTGGAGTTCCCTGATAGCATTTGTAGCTGTATTCAGTGCGGTTGCTTATCTGCCTCCCGTGACACCTGCTTCTGGTGTTCCATATGTGCTTTCCAAATTTTTTGAATCAGCATCAAACTAATTGTCTAGCCTCTTATTTATTTAATGTATCTGTCTGAGAATTTTATTTTAAATTCCTCTATGTCAGTGCTCATATGGTTTGTTTTAGACAATTTTGAGAATCATAGTTGCTCTTTTCACTGAATCTAATAAACTACCATGTTTGGATAAAGGCTTAAAATGCTATGTGTGTGTGTGTGTGTGTGTGTGTGTAGGCCAGAGGTTTATCTGAAATGTTGTTCCTCAGGAGTCGTTTTTGGAGACAAGGCCTTTTCCTTGGGACCTAGGGTTCATTGGCTAGGCTCGGTTGACTGTCCAACGAGCCCCAGAGATCTTGCTGTTTCTACCTGCCCAGTACTGGGATTACAGGTGTGCACTTCCACATTTGTCGGGCTTTTTATGTAACTGTTTAGGATCAGCTTTACAAGTTGGTGCTTGAAAGGCAGACATTTTACTGACTGAGCTGTGCATGTCCCCAGCTCTCCAGAATGATGATCTGTCTTCTTTTTGTGTGCAGGAAATTAAAATAGCTACATAACATCCCCAAGACCTAAGAAAAAGATCAAAGGGTCAGAGATGGAGCCTTGGGTTCCCCAGAGGCCATCTCAGCCACAAGGGAGGCCATCGATGGACACAAACCGTGGGCTTCGGAGTGGACATTATAGACAACACCCTCACCCTCAGTACAGTGGAGATAAGTACCACCAATGGCAAGAAGCCCACAGGAACTCAAAGCCACAGCAGGACCCCAGGATGCAGGATCCAAGGGCGCAGGACCTCAGGGCTGACCACCAGGAGGCCCACTATGTACCCAGGCCTGGGGAATGGTCTCAACCTGTGTCTGGAGTGGACTACTTGGGAGGACCTTATCCTAATCAGTTGTACTCAAGGTATGACTTCTAGGACTACAGTGGACCTAACTCTCCCGAGTATCTATGAACAGACTATTAATCATTCTTGTTTCCTGTTCACTTTCTTCTTCCTCCGTGCCCTGTCCCCATTTCCTGGGGTTTGTCACACAGAACTGCTTGTTCTTCAACCTAGGGTCCTCCTGCCTCACTCAAGCCTCCCAAGTGCACTCACCACCCGGCACTGCTCTCCTTAGCCTCTTATATGTCTCCTTTGTTTGTCTAGCTCCTCCTCCTCCTCTTCTTCTTCTCCTCCCTCCCCTCCATCTCCCTCCCCTCCCTCCTCTGCTCCCTCCCTCCCCCTCCTCTTTTCTATCTGCTTTAGTCAAGATTTCTAGTGCTGTGATAAAACACCGTGACACAAAGCCAGCTGGGGGAGAAGAGGGTTTGTTTCATCTTCCTTCCACATCACAGTCTGTCACTGAAGGAAATCAGGAGCTTGTGGGTAGAAACTGAAGCACAGACGATGGAGGAATGCTGCTTACTTGCTTGTTAACCCTGAAATGCTTTTGCTCAGTTTTCTTTCTTATACAACCCAGAACCACCTGTGTGTGTGTGTGTGTGTGTGTGTGTGTGTGTGTGTGTGTGTGTGTGACTGCCCCCAGTAGACTGGGTCATCCCATATCAAACATTAGTCAAGAAAATGTCCTACAGTTGCCTACAGACCAATCTTATGGAGGCATTTTCTGAGTTAAGAGCCCCCCTTCCAGATAGGTCTATATTTGTGTCAAATTGGACAAACACGAGGGCACCCACTTTTCTCTACTGTCTTAGCTAAAACCTGTCTTGGCCTGGCTTGGTTTTTGGTGACTGGTGACAGTGTTTCTCTCTTCGTTATCTCGAGAAGAACGCTATAAAGCTGCCGTTGCGGAGTGACTGGGGTTGAGGGAGGGACAGAAGGTAGAATAGAAGAGAGTAAATGGGACCTCCCTGTTTGGGGCTGTCTAAGGCAGCAAGCATTTGTGGGCTGTGAAAAAGCTTTTCCTAGGACAGCATGAAAGGCTTCACATTGTCTTTGATCTGAGCCCTATGCCAACAGCCAAGAGCCCCAGGGTCACCCATGGAGGGTGACAGGCATGCAAAGATCTGTTTTTAATACTTAAGAACTTTAAGAAAAACTCACTTCAGAGAAGGCAAATGCAGATTTTTCAGGCTGTAAAGTGAGGAGACAGTGACCACAGAAGCAATTCTGTGTTAGAGAGCATGGAGCTCCTGCACCCCCCAAGTCCATAGCATTCCCAGAAGATTGGATCCACCATGCTTTCCTCTACCTCTTCTAGCTGGGATTATGTCTATATGTCCTTAAGTTGAAGTTTGAAGTTACGGAATTTATTGTAAAGAATTTTGCCCCTGTAGTTATTATTAATTGACAGAAACGCTAACAGCAGAATGTTCCTTTTCCCAATCCCTCTGGGTTGTTGACTTCTCAAGAGAAATTGAGTATGTCAAGGACAGAGACAATAAAAGCAATCATGCTGAGGACAGTCTTGTTTCTGTGTGTAATATGCTTGGGAATTCCAGTGGCACATTGTGTTCTTATACAATCTTCTTAGGAAGATGCTTTCCTTAGTACCAGGACTGGGGTTTCCAGGATTTTGGATGTGTATATCTGGCAAGTAAAGATATTACTATAAAAAAGAATTGTGAGTAAACTTTTAACAAGAATATTTTAAAGTAAAAAGACTTTTATTATAAAAATGCCAACCTTCTTATGAAGCAAAGGTGTCCCCTGTTCTTATTCTGGATTTTCTGGCCTAATGTGAATCAGGCAGATTCTGGACTGGGCAGCCATTCTGTCTTCTGTAGTTGTCTGGTTCATCAGTTTCCTTTGGTTTCTCCCTTTACTGCCATTGGTGGATGACTGTCTGTCTTTGTGATATCTCAGGCCAGGCTATGAGGACCCCTATCAGAGGTACCACACTCCAACACCGAGGGAAGAGTATGTTTATGGAAATTATTACTACCATAGACATCCACAGCTGCTTCAAGAAGAAAGAGGTATGAAGTAATCTCCAGTGCCTTTGGGGACTGGAGAGGCATGGGTGGTCTACCGCCACAGCCAGGGACCACTGGGGCCGTGTTTGGAGAACCTGCCCTTTAATAATACTGAAACTACCTTTATGTTACTAGTTCTGTGGATAGTGTATACTTCATCCACATTTTTCTCTGATTTCTTCTTGTAGCAAAGGTTATATTTACTGATTAAGTAACAGTAAAATTAGCTCTTAAGCCCATCTGGTATGCTGAGCTACAATACGACTGCAGTAATCACTTTATCCTGGGGACAGTAGATTCTCACCAATGGGAGTTCCATACCCTATGCCCCCATATAATAGGTATTATACTGTGTGTAAATACATGAAGCCATGCAAACTGGTTTGGAGCATCTAGGGGCTCATTATTTGATAGATACTCTATTTGATAGATACGTTTTTGTACTTACTGTAATTCAGTACCTCAGTTTCATGTCTCCCCAGTATCTTTCTAAAAGGACTTTCAGAAGCAGCAAGTGACCTGTCTTTGCTTTGTTTTCTCTGAGGGTGCAGTGGCAAGGCAAGGGAGTCCTTATATCTGGAATGAAGATTCTGGCGATCAAAAGTATTTCAACGAGCGTCATCATGAAAAGCGCAACAGTCCCTTTGGAACAAATAGTGAGACTCAAGTCCAGTACGTGAAAGGACAAGCCATGCTGACAAGATTTAGACAGATTCTGTTAGGACAACCTTAGGGCAGCTGGTGGTCGTCCCTGATCTATGGAAGACAGTCTGCTTTTGTTCCAGCCACAGGGACACGAGGATAATAAACCAAGGTGGCCCAGGCCAACTATTGGCATTAATCCTGGGAAAGCGATTTTTGTCTCTGAGAACTGTTGCCCATTCAGCACTAGTCTACATCCTGTAAGATTACTTGTGGCCAGATCTAAAGGTCAAATCCTATATTAGCCTTAGAAACAATGTAGTCTTGCAATAATTGTTATGGCTGGGACCTTTCTGAGGCTGTAATGCTTCTCTGTTCCCTCTCTCTGCTCCTAAGCATGAAACATCCACCTGGCATATGGCCCAGCAGGGAAGAGACTTTGCTGAAGCATTTATCCTGGTACCCTTAGCCTTGGAATTCACCGATGCAAGGCCTGTGACTTAAGTTTTTCCAGGAGGATAGGCTGTAGCGACCAGCCACTCTCTATAAAGTCTGGGTCACTTCTGATAATCGTGTAGAACCCAAACATTCCATCTTTCTAAGACACTGAAGTGGGGGAAAGAAAGGAAACGCTTTTGCAGTAGCACTGAAACCGGCCTGACCCCGCCCATGCTTAGCACCAGACCAGCCTCCAGCAGAGCCTATTCCAGCCTTGCTGGCTTGCCCAGGACCTGTCTCAACACCGCTGTCTTGTTGCTGCAGGTTTACCAGCAAGAATCCATATGAAGACAGCCTCGCTTCTGTCTCTGGACAGCAACAGCCTGGGGAGTTCTTTCCAGAGAGTGAGGCCCAGAAACAAAAGGTAACCTGAAGTGACAGGGCCTAGAGGCCTGTGGCCATGTGTTAAGCCACCTTGTTGGTCTGCAGCCGCCAGCAGAGTCCCCACTCACCTCCACTTTCCCCTGCCTTCGCTTTGCACTCTTACTGGTCCAAGGACCTGATCTGACCTAGTCCTGTTTTGTCAAGTGGGCAGGACTTAATTCATCGTGAAGTCCTCGGAAAGAGAAGAGATCACCTCTGTGAGTTAGGTGTTCAGCACCCCAGGGTAACAGAGGTTTTGAAAGTGAAGGATTGTTAGGACCTTCTAATTTAAGTTTGAAAAGCAACCTTGAAATCTTTCCTGACTCTTTAACATCTTTTCTCTAAGATCCTAATACATGCACCATCTAGGTCACAAAATAGAGCTCTTAATAGTATTGAGATAAATATTTTATTACAGTAATTTTAGATTTATAGACAAGTAGCAAGACTGTGGTAGAGATGAGTTCTTATTTTTTGACAGACTCTGGTTAGTTTGTTTCTCCCTGATTAGATCCGTGTGATTTTTTTTTTGTGTGTATGTAGATAATTTTTCTGTACCTACTTCTCACTAGGATGGGGACAGGTGACTGGTGATAGGTGGTGTGTAGACAGCACTTTTCAGTGTACCAGGAGCCTTTGAATCCACTGTCTTCTTCATCTCTCCTGGAACATAAATTTCTTGTACACTTGTCTGCAGGGAATGTACATTATCCAGACACAAATGGCTGGTGTATTAGTAAGTAACATGTATAGGACAGCTATCCTAAATTTATATTGCAGATGAAGGTATTGAGCTGAGAAAGCCAAAGTCACCTGTTTAAGGTCATAGCAACATGGTCAAAAAACTGAATTTGAATTCTAAGTCACTTAACCCCACTGGGCCATACTCAGTGGGATAATACTATATTCTTCCAATGAATTCACGTTCATTGTGTTTAGTGGAAAGTTTGAGTTTTGTTTCTTTGAAGGAAGAAATGTGAAAAGTGGAAGGACAAGCTCTCTGGCGCTCCTTCCTAGATAATTTCATCATTTTTCTTTTCCCCCCAGTCATCACTGACCAGCAGGTCCAACCTTCTCCAGCATCAGGAGTCTGGCCTCAGCTCTAGCAGCTATGAGCTCAGTCAGTACATGGCAGATGTCCCAGAGTTTGAGCCCATGGGATCAGCGACTTGGAGACCTATTCAGGCTGGTGGGTACCAAGGGATCATGGAGCTGTTTGATTCCAGTAAGGATAAGGAAAGGTTGGGTCATGAGGAAAGTTACCCTTCCGTACTTCCTGTATTGGGTCTTTGATCACCTTATTGGCTTATGCAGGTCTCCTAGGCAGAGAAGCCGACTTTGGATCCCTTTCCCACATCTTCTCTAGTGATGGAACTTGCATCACAGATGGCTCTTAGAAGGGAACACTGCTCCTAGTCGTCATTACGTTGGGCCAGGAGGCACTCTGGGGTGCTTTTAAGCAACAAGTAAGGAAAATGAAGACCAGAGAGGACTGAATGAAGTGAACTGAGGACACAAAGTGTAAAAGTCAGTCTGGAGGCTTGCCACATGTATAGAAACACTGCAGTAGAGGCTGCTTGTCCTCTAACCACTGTTGAGAATCTGAGATGAGTGCATTGTCATTTGGACCAAATAATAATCTTTGCATTGTAATCAGACATTTCTTATAAGTTTAAAGCAGACTAGAGCCTCACCTTTTCTAAGTAGGTATCCCACACAGCATCTCACCTTGGCCCAGGCAGAATTTGAACAGAAGTGTTTCCATGATGTCTGTCTTAACTAAAGAGCACCGATAGCAAACCTAACAAATGTCCACATGTGTCTGTTGGCCAGATGATGCCTCAGTTGCTGTTCCCAAGGCACCCATGAAGTTTTATGTTCCCCACGTGTCCGTGAGCTTTGGGCCAGGAGGCCAGCTAGTTTGGGTGTCCCCCAACTCTCCTGCTGATGGACAAACAGCCCTGGTGGAAGTACACAGCATGGAGGTAATCAGAGTGGTAGGCCTTGGGGGTCCAAGTACTCTGCTCAACCCAGTGGCTCTTCTCAGGCCTCTACTTTCTTGGAGGCTGGTGTGGCAGGAATGGGTGGGCTTTTCGTAGAAAGAAGTGATCTAGGCTTATATTTTCCCTGAGATGCTAGTGGCTCATCTTCAATAGGGTAACTGCCTCCACAAGTCGCTGAGCCACACCACTGGACCATAGCCATGGATCTGATACTGGGTTTGACTGCTGGGTACAGGGTGGAGAGGTCTTGGGGACCTAATTTATTTTCTGGTCCAGGTTATCCTTAATGATTCTGAGGACCAAGAGGAGATGAGAGGTTTCCCAGGACCCCTCATCAGGTAAAGTACTGCAAGAGCTGTCAAGGGAGAGCATGACGCGTGTGCATGTGCATGTGTGTGTGTGTGTATGTGTGGTGTATGCACACATGTATGAAGGTGCATGTATGCATGCACACAATGCAGAAGTCAGAGAAAGGCATTTATTATTTTCCTCTTTTTCTCTTTCATCTTTTTCTTTCTCTTAGTTTTTGAGACAGGCCATCTCACCAAACCTGAAGCTTCCCATTTTGGCTAGGCTGTCTGGCCAGTGAGCTCCCAGGAAATACTTATCTCTGTTCCCCAAACTCTGGTGTTACAGGCACATGTATCCATACCTGGCTTTTATGTGGCTACTTGGAATTTGAACTCATGTCCTCTTGTTTTCACAGCAGCAGCTCTTACCCACTAAGCTATATTCCCCAACTCTTAAATAAAGGCTTTGAAAGCTGGGACATCCATGGTTTCCATGGAAAAAACTATCTATCTTATTTGGAATAGATTTCTCTGTGACAGTAAAGAGAAAAAGAGGTGGCTCAAGTAATTTTGACAAACTGCTTCATATTTGAAGGGCAGAAAGAAAAGATGGCTCAATAAGTTGGAAATCTAAAAACATTTCGTAGAGGTTACTTGGCAGGAAGCTTTAGTGTTCTGTATAATTCACAGGTATTAGTGGGGAAATCGCATAGCCTGGGAAAGCATTCTTGAAACTGCTTTTTTGAGCTGCAACCCTGCTTTCCAGTTCCCTGACATTGTGAACGTCTGCCCTCTGCAGGAATGAACTGGAACTGCTTTAGCATCTCCAGCCTCTTTTCTGATAACCAGTGGTCTTTAGTTGTGAGTCCTGGGTGGGCGTAGGGCCAGCATCCCAGGTATCCTACTAACTGGTGGTTCACCAGTTCTCTCTAAGTTTTTCCCTTGAGAAAGTATACAGCGCTTACCCTACCTACTCCAAAGGTGGTGGCTGTGAGACTCTAGTCGTATGGAAGCCCATTGAATGGCACCACTACTATATACACATAATCCTATCTAGATGCTTGGTCCTAAGAAAGTCCCATATTACAACTGAAGGCTCCTTTAAGTCAAAATGAGTGTTATGGTGTGTGTGTATTTATGTGTGCACAAATGATGCCAGAAGACAACCTCAAGGATCATTCCTAAGGTGGCAAACACCATCTCACCTTTTGTCTCCACATCTTACTTGTAGGTATGCAGAGAACCGAGCTGTGTATTAAATAGTATGGCATTGGCCCCGCTTGGCACTGACTTGTTGAATGTTCTTGAGCTTGTCATAATGTCCACTCAATGAGCATTTATGTGATGATGCTACACAGTTTGCTTATTCCTTTTTGTACGAAGGTGGTTTCTTTTGTTAGTCCTGTCTTAAAGAGGGGAAGACACAGGTTCAGAGGGGGTGAGATGTTTGTATTAGTTGAGAGGGGTTAGGGCAGACATGGTCCCAGTCTTGTATGACTTTAAACAGAGTCCTTATCTGCCATTCTGATAAGTCACTTAGGGTCTCTGGGTTTCATTGTCCTCATCTGAAAGATAGAAAGATTCACAAAGGGAATCTCTGAAACTCCTTCCTGTTCTGTAGGAAAAACCAATGTTGTGGTTCCAGGCTTCCAGTCCTGGGCTGTCAGGCTTCTGCCACATAAACCAGCTCATTATACAGGGAGCCTGAACCCCTGAGCTGGGACAGTCAGTCTGCTTAGGCCTTGCTTCCTGAATCGCCTCACAGGGAGGACATACACAAGGTGGATATCATGACGTTTTGCCAGAAGAAAGCAGCTCAGTGTCTCAAATCTGAGACACCAGGGAGCAGGGACTCAGCTCTACTTTGGCACCTGCTGGTTCTCCTTTGTCGACAGAATGGGGTAAGTCACTGCTTTGCTTGATATTGGGAGTAGAGGAAAACCAGACTGAAGCTTCAGTCTTCATGGGAGTTGGTGTCTGTCACAATTATAAAAGGCAGTCTCTAAGCAGCGCCGTTGCTCAGAGGGGATGCCCCTGCCAGTTTGCCAATGCTGACCTTTCCTGGAGAGCATCTTCCCACTGACTGGGGTTTGTTACACAGACCCTGGATTATTGCACCGATCAGATAATACACCTGTGAGTGGTTCCAATGAGGTTTGCTGCTGCCTCCAGGCAGAGAGTAACAGCCAGCAGTAGTGAAGCTGATGTCTGAAATTCAGTCGTTCACGAAAGGTCTATGGTATATTTGCAGGACTGTCTCAGGAAGAAGGCAGAAGGCCCTGCTGCCTTCCTTCTTCAGCCTGGGGGAGGGGCAGCTTGGGGACCAATAGGATCGCCCCACAGGATGACTCTCTTTACCTTGCAGTCCATGGTGGGATCTGACATTGCTGAGCTGCTGATGCAGGACTGCAAGAAGCTGGAGAAGTACAAGAGGCAGCCCCCAGTGGCCAACCTCATCAATCTGACAGACGAGGACTGGCCGGTGCTGAGCTCTGGGACTCGCAACCTGCTCACAGGGGAGATTCCCCCCAGTGTGGAGACGCCAGCACAGATCGTGGAGAAGTTCACCAGGCTGCTCTACTATGGAAGGAAGAAGGTGAGAACACCTTTCTCTCAGACTTCCTTCGGACAAGCGACCACCAGCGTATCTCCCCCTCCTCCAATGATATGATTAGAACACACTTCTTTTAGAGCATGCGAGACATTCATAAAGTTACGGTGAGAAAAATAAAAATACATAGGTGTTGGCCGTTCACACCTGCGGTGTCCATACTGTCCTGTTGTTAGAGGGCAGCATCTGTTCACATTCCGTTTATTTACTCCTAGAGTTTCCCCATTGAAAATCAGTTTAAGTCACGTAGCCAGGCATGGTGGTGCGCTCATACGGCTGAGGTAGGCAAGACTGTGAGTAGGAGGCCAGCCTAAACTATAAAGGGGGACCCTGTCTCAAAACATATAAACAACCCCAAAGGAACACATAATTGTTTAGTTCTTTTTACATGTAATGTTACATGGTAAAAGTACCCTAATGACATTAAATATGTTTGAATAGTACAATTTTAGTATTTTTATAATGTTAAGAATTCAATCCAGTGCCTTGTAGGTTCTTGACAAGTACTTACAAACAAACAAACAAACAAACAAACATTCTAGGGCTGGAGAGATGGCTCGTGTTTACTGGTCTTCTAAAGGATTCGGATTCAGTTCCCAGAGCCCATGTTGGGAAGCTCACAATAATTAATAACTCCAGTTCCATGGGAATCCAACACCTCTATCCTAAGTGGGTACCTGAACTCGTGTGAATGCTCCCTCCGATACACATAATTTAAACATAGCAACTTAGTTTATGGGGAGATTACTTATGAATGATACCCCTGCCACTGGATCTCAGGCATTCCTATCAACTCTGAATGCTTTCATATAATGGGTGGAGAGGGTTGCTTATTTAATTTTGAGCTGTGGTCATGTTTTATACAAGTCATGAATTGAATCTGAAATTAGAGCTCTCATGATCCATTTACCTCCCAATAACTGGAGACCAAGCCTTCGGCCCATGGCCTTTTGTGGGGTACTCTTCATACTCAAGCTAGGGCATCATTGTCATTTTTTTCCACTATGAGAGAACATATGTAAGATGAATTTCTAGCAGCAGGGGTGTTGGGTCAAAGGGTACGTGGTTTATAATTTTGATAGCTATTGAAAAATTGCCTCGTAGGATGTATCGCTAGCTCTGTGAACAAAGGGCGAAGCCATTGCTTTGTATTCTCATCAAAGCCTGCACACTTGTGGTCTGTGCCTGTCCTAGAGGTGAAAAAAAATACAATTCAGTGTGTATATTTGCCCGTTATTATGAATGAAATTAGCTTTTCCCCTGTGGTGATTCTTGTCACAGGCTTCCCACCTTTTCCTGTAGAGGCTTTATCAGTGCGTGCTGAATTGTCTGTGCTCTTTAACTGAAGAGCACAGAACTGAACTGTGAAAGATGTTCAGTTCTAAACCTCAAATCTTTCTTTTTTTTTGGATGTGCATATTTAATTAGTTTCCCCCCATTTTCAAATTAATTTATAAAAACAAAGTTGAGTTAGTTTTGTGACTTTGGCATTTTAAAAGGTTTATTTATTTTTATTGTGTGTGTGAGTGCCTGCGTGTCTATCTCTGCACCATGGGCATGCCTGTGCCTAGGAAGGCCAGAAGAGGGTGTCAGTTCCGGGAACTGGAGTTACAGGTGGCTGTGTGCCGCTACATGAGTGCTGGAATTTGAACTTGGACCCTCTGCAAGAGCATCAAGTACTCTTAACTGCTGTGCCATATCTCCAGCCCCTACTTTGAAATTTTAATATTTTGTCTATTGAGTTTTTAAACATGATGTTTTATTTTATGGGAGCACTTAACATAATAACTTATAAAAACAAGTAGTATCAAATTACAGCCATTTTCTATACATCCATTATCTAGCAGGGAATTGTGCTTTTCTCAGTGATCCATTTATTCTATTAAAACAAAGCAAAACAGAAAACCTATCTGCAGTACTATTTCTTGCCCAGTGAGGCATACAGAGATAAATCAGTCCTGAACTTTTCCTTCAAGAAAGATGAACAGTATCTATAATAACAACAATAACAAAGCAGAGATTAAAAAATTATTTTTTTACCCATCAGGCACTAACTCAATATCTTTTATGTGTGATCTGATTTATCTCCATAGAAACCTGTGTGGAGGGTTTGGTTTTGTTTTGCTGATTTACAGGTTGGGCAGTTAGATTTAGATGTGGGACTTGGATCTGGGTAGCGTGAGCCTGAACATGGGCTTCTGGGTACCTCACCACACTGAGTGATAGGCGGAGCAGTGGGGGTGTCTACAGGATGATGAATGAGAAGTGGGTATCAAGATACCTTCATTCATATTTGACTCAGGTATTATTTCTGAAATTTAATATTTTTGACAGCCTTGATATAAGTTCTCAAGTTCTTTACTTATAAATTTTATTTTTGGAGTGGGCAGAATTTTGAGTCAACTAATAATTCTCAACCAACCCACTGGTCACTTTTTAAAAAAACAAATTACAAAGAATTATGAAATAGTTAAAGTATGCTGAAAAAAAGGTTGTCCTAATGCCATTTTTTTCACCCGTTCTGGACCTGAGGCTGAATTCCTTAATTGTGATTATTAAATTTGCCCTTTCTATTCAATAAGATTACATGGAGATATGCTGAGATAATAAAGACACTTGTTACATGGAAGTAGTATTACCTCTTTAGTGACCTCCTGCCAGAAATCATGCATTTTTTCCTACAAAGGAAGTTATTAATACCAGCTCAAAACCTCAACTATAAGCTGAATCAAAAAGGCATATATGTATGTGTGTTTTAAAGTTTGCAGCTTTATCCCATCTTACTCGATGGCACTATCAATACATCCTGAGACAGCATCTGAGAGTTAGCAGTCTCTGCATAAGGCTTATAGGCTAACTCCCACGAGCTTAGGCACAGTAGCCAGTCAGCTAACCCTCCTCCACAATGTCAGACTCAGGATGCTGCGGTCCTCACCATTGTCAGCTTGGAATTTCTAAGGTTCTCTAGGAGTCCTTTTCCTTGCAGCTACCTGGTGGAGTGAGGCTTATTAGGAATGAGTGTGGATGACTCTGTGGGCCCAGCCTAGAAGTGGTACTGTTAAGTTCATGTCACGGCTTCTGCTCAGCCACACTCAGGAGGCAATGAGGTGGGGAATGTCCAGCTTTGTGTCTAGGAAGGAAGACGTCCCCCCTGCCACAGCTTTTAAAAAGGACACTGTTCTTTAATATGGCCACAGCAATACATTTTTGTTACTCATATTTTGAGACTCAGTCTTTGGAGTGAACTCTTTCCCTTGTTTTTGGCAGTTAGGGTTTTAGAAATATTTTGTAGCTGATACTAAAGAGATGAGACTGCCGCACACCATGTTTGAAGGAGCTAATGCCATGTCCTAATGGATGGTGGATGGAGGGGAGAGAGTAGCACCATGCTGAGTGAAACCCACACCCCTGTTCTCCCTTCTTCATTTTCTAAACTTCCCTGGGATTTTCTATTGCTTGGAGTACAGAACGGCCTACGCATGGAAATTTGTTATTTTTATTGGACAAAGATGAGCAAGGTGCTGTCTGGATTGTACATCATGCTTTGCTTTTCTGTACGGAAATTTGTTGATTTTATTGGGCGAAGATGAGCAAGGTACTATCGTTTGCCATACTTTGCTTTTCAGGAGGCCTTGGAATGGGCTATGAAGAACCACTTGTGGGGCCATGCTCTGTTCCTAGCCAGTAAGATGGACCCAAGGACCTACAACTGGGTCATGAGTGGGTGAGTCTCACTTGCGAAGACCAGAAGTGCAGATCAACCTCCTTTCTAAAGGTGGTGTGTGTGTGTGTATGTGTGTGTGTGTGTGTGTGTGTGTGTGTGTGTGTGTGTGTGTGGTGTGGATGTAGGGGAGAAATAAAAAAAATTCATTGAGAAGTTCCATACACAGCTGCCCAAGTTCTCTTTACTGAGATGGGTGTAGCATTTTTCATTTCCCGATTCTCCTCTCCTCTCCTCTCCTCTCCTCTCCTCTCCTCTCCTCTCCTCTCCTCTCCTCTCCTCTCCTCTCCTCTCCTCTCCTCTCCTCTCCTCTCCTCTCCTCTCCTCTATTCTCCTTTTCTCTTTTCCTTTCCTTTTCTTTCCTCTCCTCCCCTCCCCTCCCCTCCTTTTCTCTCTTCTTCCCCTTCCTCTCCCTTCTCCTCTCCTCTTCTCTCTTCCCCTCCCCTTCTTTTCCCTCTCCTCTCTTTCCTTCTCCTTCCCTCTCCTCTCATCTTCTCTCTTTCTCCTCTGCTCCCCTCCCCCCTCATTTCCTTTCCTCTCATCTTCTCTCCTCCCCCTCTTCTCCTCTCTCCTTCCTCTCCCTTCCCCCTCTTCTTTCTTCCCACTCTCTCCCCTCCCATCCTCTCCCTTGCCCTCTCTTCCTCTCCCTCTGCTCCCCTCTCTCCTTCCTTCTCATTCTCCTTGTCCCTAGCCTCTCAAGTACTGGGGTTATAAGCATACTACTTTCATGCTCAGTTCTCAAGATTCTTCATTTTTAAACATTTATTTATTTATTATGTATGTCTCTGTGTGTGTCTGTGCATGCTTGCATGTGCCATGGACTATGTGAGGAGGTCAGAGAACAATTTGTGGGAGTCATTTCTCTTCTTCCATCATGTAGATCCAGGGCATCTAAACTTAGGTCGTCAAGCTTGGCAGAGAGTGGCTTTACCTGCTAAGCAATCTCACTGGCCCTAGATTCTTATAACTTAGGCAAAGAAACATTCTTCAAACCTATTTAAATGGAATGAAACATTTTTTGGCAAAATTCCCCAAGGGCCAGAATTTCAGAATATTCCACACTGTGGTCCTCTTTGGGAGGGACTGCTTTAGACAGTTTCCTTAGGAAAGGAAGGGTGGGGGATCATGTAGCTGATGCAGCCTGGAGGCAAAGGGATTATGATTTAAGAAAGAGTCCAGGGCTTGGTCTTACACTGAGGCTGTGGCTTCTGAGGGGCTGGTAGGGTAGGAGCTGGTATGGCATGTATATGAGCCATGGTAGGATAGGCATTACTTGGGCTGGGAATATTGAGAGAAGAGGAGTATTTGGTAAGGAATCACAGCTGACAGTGAACCAAGTGCCATGATAGACCTAGGAGAAGGACCAAGCCAATGTGAAGTGGGACAGGAGCAAGCACACAGCCTGCGGTAATTGGGGGGACATAGAGCAGTGAGGAGTCAGTGTGGAGGAGGGGTAAGTGGGGGGACATAGAGCAGTGGGGAGTCAGTGTGGAGGAGGGGTAAGTGGGGGGGACATGTAGCAGTGGGGAGTCAGTGTGGAGGAGGGGTTGTGTCTAGGTGGACATTGTAGGGGAGTTTCCGTATGAGTCTGCCACACATGCATACCATGGGTGGCAGGAGTGAGGGGAAAGTCTCCTGTAGGAACAGGTTTGGGTCAGAGTCTGATAAAGACGGTCTGTGTACAGTTTACCTTCTAGGGCTGGCTGAGGCTGTGGAGACAACCTTCTGAACCTAGGCTGACTTGGCCACAAATACTGTTGGGTAGAGAGTTGGCTGAGGGGGCATACCCTCTGCTTTAAGTTCTGTGTTGCTATTGGCTGCCACACTGCCTGGTAGTTTGTTCTTCATGATGGTCTCAGCGAGACTCTTTATTACCTTAACTCCATCTTCCCAGGCACAAGCGATGTCACCCTCTCTCCATTATGGTCCTAGGCTAGAGTGGTGGGAACGCTGCTGTCTGGAATGCTGAGTGTGCTGGGCTCCCGTGGCAAGGGTGCTATTAAGCAAAAGATGGCAATCTGAGGGACGATTTTCCCTTTGGGTTTTGGAAATGAACATCCCACATCCCCGCGTCGAAGCATACATCTCTGCTACAGAGTTTTGCCTTGGGCCATTGATTTTTGATGGGGCCCAGTGAATTGTGAAAAATATCTCTTACTGAGTATGCTTAAATCTCAAATCAGCTGTAGAGCTTATTATATCCTTGTTAAGCGCATCCCACAGTTTGTCATCAGCAGGATCATTTCTGGTCCCTCTTCCACGCCTCTTTGGTTGTTGAAAATGACTATTTAGTGCTTGTGAGTCAAAGCTCTATAGACCCAGGCTTGAGATGAGCCAGAAAAATGATACTTAGTGGGATGGGTTTGGTGAGGAGGAACTGAGGGTGGCTGGGAAGGAGGGGCCCATGGAGAAGAGCTTCCATGTTTACTGCTGGGCTACCCAGATGGCCTAGAGATGTGGGGGGGTCAGCTCACTGATAGAAGGCATTTAGAAGTGCCTACTAAGAATCAGGACATTAGGGCAAAATTCCGAAAAAGTATCCTGGAAAAATACTTGGGAGAGTGTGATGTGGTGAAGATGTGGTTGCCACAAGGCACAGCAGGGCAGAGAGAAACCTGTGTTCCAGAATGGAAGTGCCTGTCAAGTGGAATATTCAGGCCTGCAGGCTGGTGATGGCTCCCTCTGGGCATGGCTCCCGCTGACTCTCCTCTCTTCCCCCAGCTTCACCAGCACACTGGCTCTCAACGACCCCCTGCAGACCCTCTTCCAGCTCATGTCGGGAAGGATTCCACAAGCAGCCACGGTACTCTCTGTGACAGGCTTCTTTCTATGCCCCAGAGTCCTGAGGGTTGGGAGTGGGCTATTGGGGCCTACCTGGGAATGTAACACTACCTTTACAGATGAGGCATGGATGAGAGTTTATTAACTATCTACAGCGTGCTTGACCCGTAGACGATCTGATACATAGCAGCTGATTTCATCCATGGAGATAGGAGTTATCCCTGCTTTTGCAGGCACGGAAACAGAGGTACCAAAATGTAAAAATGGCTCAGTTATGGAGGTAGCAAGGAATGGGGTCATGACTGGCTCGGGTGTGCCTGGTTCCAAAGACCTTACCTTTGCCACAGTGCCTGATTGCACAAGAGCTGTTGTTTTGCACAGCGATCCTCCAGAACTGGACGTGTTGAACTTTGTGTGTGTTGGAGTTGAATGTGGCTGAGGAGAAGGTGGAGGTCTGCTTGAGACCATCTCCACTATAGCAGATTCAATCTTTTTGAGCCAATGTGTTCTTTTCTGATCCAATAGCTTTACCAGCATGTATCTTGGCATTGACTGTCTGGGTCTGTTTTTTTTTTTCCCCCCTGGCAATACTGCATACCTGTCATTTAATATAAACATTCATGCCATAAAATTCAGGAACATCTTCTTGGATTTAATCTTTCAATATTTATTTTGGCTTCATTTCCAGGAATTCCACATCTATTCCACATGTATAAACTGTATGTAAACATGTGAATGATAGAAATATACTTATCTCCTTTCTGAGACCCACGCTGACTTTGAACTCAGGATAACCTTGAACTCCCGATCTTTCTGTCACCGTCTCCCCAGTGTCAGGCTTCCAAACATGTGCCACCATACTCAACTTTTTCTTTTTTTCTCAAATTAAAAACATTTTTTTCTTTCCCTCCTCCATCCTTCCTTTGCCTACCCCTGTTTTTTCTTCTTCTCTTTTCTTGCCTCTGTCCTCTGTCCTTCACTGTTTCCCCCAGTGTCTCTTGCTCTTTTGTCCTAACATTTTTGCCTTTGTTTCTTTAACATTTCCCCCATTCCTTGCCTGAGCTTTCCTGCAATGACGCATCACTGTGGAGCCTTAGCTCCCTTATCTAAGAGCAGGGAAAATTAGCTAACTCTCCCTCATCACTGAGACCCAATAGACCACAGGCTCCCTGGGCTCCTTTATGGTTGCTTTATGTTCTCGCTGCATAGAAGTATTAGTTCATCACCTCTGTTCCTGCCCAACGCTTTGCCATTCTATCTCCATCACTTTTGACAGCCATGTCTTATATTTGAAGCTTGAGTTTTGGCTAGCAATGGGTTTTCATGAAAATGAATTTAACTTTTCCCTTTATCTCTTCTCTCTCTCTCTCTCTCTCTCTCTCTCTCTCTCTCTCTCTTTCTTTTTTGATGTTCTTCTTGCTGTGAATAATTCTAAGAAAAGCAGAGCCAAGAGAAATGCTGCCTTCTGTCCCCCACCATTAAACCAATGGGCTATTTTGGAATATAGGGTAAGCTTCACGCATGATTCAGCTGAATGGAAGCTTCAGCACTGCAATGAAATTGCACCGTGTCAGGAAGCACCTAATGGAGAAAGTGATATAATTAGCCTGTGGTCTATTGGGCCTCAGTGATGAGGGAGAGTTAGCTAATTTCCCCCGCTCTTAGATAAGGGAGCTAAGGCTCCACAATGGTGAGCCATTGCAGTATTCGATCTTAGAGTGTGAGAACTTCCTAGCCCCTCACATTGAATACAAGGCTACCTTTCTGATACATGTGTGGTGTCATGGAAGAGGCATGTCTACTGGATGTACTGATGTGGGTTTTATCACAGGTGTAAGCTTGACTTTGTTCATTACTGCTAGGCAAACTTGGCTGCTATTTAATATCACTGTTTTTCTCTTTGTGGAGATTTTGATGGCCAAGCAATTATTGTGATATTAAAGGAACAAGAATGTCTGAACCTGGCAGTCACCATGCTTGCATGTCTATCTCATCAAGGAAATTAGTTAATGAATTCTCCCTGCCCCCTCAATCAACTTTATACTATGCCCCGCTCCTTGCTCCAAACCAGGGAGATGATGGCTTCCAAGATTATTTTCTTTTTGTAGAAAGTTTTTCTTTCTTTTTTTGTCTGTTACGTACTTACGGATTCAGCAAGAAGAGGCCTGGCTTATATGTTTAACTGAGAGTAGCAATGTCCCTGAACTATGCAATTATTGTGCCCAGGGTGTGGTTCATAGTCTAAGCCATTGTTGTAAATTAAAACTAATATTACTATGACTTCTTATGACCACCGTTATGATATACACGATATGCATTTATGCTGTGCTGTTGAAATAGGTAGGGAACAAGTGTCATATGGAGCTGGGTGAGACATCATTTATTCCCTGTTATGACTATAAACACCAAATAACTACAAAGTGGTTCTGCATCCTAAGTGTTAGCAATTACTGTCAATTCTCTTCTCTGTCTATATAACAGGATTGGTTTAGACTGGTTTGGACATTACTTCTTCCTCTACTGCATTTGTGTGTGTGTGTGTGTATGTTTGTAAGTGTACACATGCACATGTGTGCTCATTCCTTTTATGAAATTTTAAAGTGTAAACTCAGAGTGAAACACTGTGTCATGGGCTTTATATAACTGTCTTATTTTATTGCCACCAAGAGTCCTGTTAGGTAGAAATGATGTTCTCCATTCTCGAGACGAGGAAGACAAAGGTTCAGTGAAATTAAAGACTTGCTCAAGCTCACACTGTATGAGTCAGGACTTGGGCTGCATCCAGGGACTGTGTAGAATTTATCACATTATGTTGATTCTTCATTGATTCTTTCTCCCCTGAAGTTCTTCTCCGAGGAGGGTAGCCTAGGGTGAGGTTCAATGTATGCAAGTCAATTAGTGTAATAAACTGCACAGGTGAGCTTAAAGACAAAAGTCTCAATAGATGCAGAAAAAGCTTTTGTCAGACTCCATCATGCTTTCATGATAAAAGTTCCAGAGAGTAGGACTACAGAGAACATTTCTTAGCACAATAAAAGATACAGGAGAGAAACCCACAGCCAATGCTGTTCTGTATGGAGAGAACCTATTCATATTTGCAGATGACATGATATTATACACAAGAGATCCCAACAATTCTAGCAGAAAGCTTCTAGAAGTTACAAGGTCAGCAGTGTGATAGGATATAGGATCAATTTGCATGAATCAATAGCTTTTCTCTACACCACCAACAAGCGTACAGGGAAAGAGATCATTGACACACTTCCATTCATGACAGCCTCAAAGAAAATAAAATATCTAGGAATAAATCTGATAAAGGAGGTGAAGAAGCTCTATAACAAAAACTTTAAACCTCTGAAGAAAGAGTTAAGGACATTAAAAATGGGAATACATTCCATGTTCATGGATTAATAGAACTAATATTGTGAGCATGACTAATATATCAAAAGCTTTTGCATATTCAATACCCATCAACATCTCTATCTCATTCTTTATAAAATAGAAAGTAGATTCATATGAAACCATATAAAACCCTGGATGGCCAAAATACTCTAAACAAAAGGAACAGTGTTGGAGGGATTATCACCCTAGATCTTAAGATATATTACAGAGCCACAGCAATAAAAATAAAATAACAGTGGCCCCCAAAACAGACATGTTAGATCAATGGAATGAAATTAAGGACCCAAACATGAGTACCTATAACCATAGTCAATATTTGGCACACACGCCAAAATTATAAACTGGAGGAAAGAAAGCATCTTCAGCAAATGCTTCTGGGAAAACTGATTGTCCACATGCAGAAGAACAAAGTTAGACTAGTGTCTATTACCTTATACAAAAACTAACCCCAAATGGACCAAAGACACAGTAGTTGTACAGGTCTGCTGGCTTTCTCCTGCTTCCTGATGGAGTGTGGCCACTACGTTGTCACCAGGGAATGGGTGGAGAGGAGTTGAATGGATATTGAAAACTTGCTTGATTTCCTCATTCCTTCAGCAGTAATAGGAAGTACATTTCACAACAGCCCTGTGAAGCTACTGTGTGTGGAAGGGCCTTGTAAGACTAGGCAGTCCCAGCTACTTGTAAGACAGTGAGCAACTCGGAGTCCAAGACTTTTCTGTCAGCTGAGCATGGCCTTCTCTACTCACGAGACAAGGGTGATCAGCCTTCATTTTTCCTTTACTCAGTGAAACACTAGAATTTTTTTTGGGTGTAGGGAGGATATTTGAAGTGAAGACAGTTAATAAATATGTCATTTTATTTATTACCCAATATCCTTATAACTGATATATATGTATATATGTGTGTGTGTACATATACATATATGTGTGTGTTTGTCTGTCTTTATGTGTATATGTGATATATGTTTCTGCATGTATGAGTGTGCATGTGTGTGTCTGTGTGTGTTTTGTATATGTATCTCTATGTATATGGGTATGTATGTGTATCTCTGTGTGTGTCTCTCTCTGTTTGAGTGTGTGTCTCTGTGTGAGTGTATGCCTGTGTGTGTTTGCATTTGTGTGTGTGCCTTTGTGTCTGTGAGTCTGTGTTTGTATGCTTATGTGTCTCTGTGTGTGTGTCTATGTGGGTGTGCTTGCATATATATATATGTGATTTTCCATTTTTTAATTTTTCTCTGGAGATAGAGATAGGTTCTCACACTGGAGCCCAGGCAGATCTCAAAGTCATGATGGCCTCTCAGTCTCCTGAGTGCTGGTTTTACCAATGTGTGCCACCAACTTGTTCTGTGCCACACGGCAGCCACTTCATACAGAGTGAACCCTTATTTAACAGTAATAACATCACAGACAGTGTAATGTACATTCCCTGAACTCCGTACCAAAATATAGACAGCAGCCTTCTTTTCCTACATCCCTGGCTGTGCTAAGTGACTCTGCAAATCATTATTTTTCAGTGCTGTGGAGACAAACAGTGGGGAGACTGGCGGCCCCACTTGGCTGTGATCCTGTCAAATCAGGCTGGGGACACGGAGTTGTACCAGCGAGCCATTGTCAGCATGGGGGATACCCTGGGTGAGCAGAAACCAGCATTTCCTCTTCTCTAGGCAGCTCCAGGCCAGCTTCCAGGGCCAGACATCAGAGTCTTAGACTCCAGAGAGCCGTATCTATGGCTCAGGCCTCTCAGGTTCTGGAGGCTCCGTCTTTCTGGTTAAGAAACTCCAGGAAAGACACATTTATAGTGTAATTCTGTTTCCCAGAATTCCCTTTGCCAGCTTTGTTTGGTTTTTATTATTTGTTTCCCTGAATCCCCACTGGGAACTTTGTTTGTCATTGCTGTATAGCTTTCTCGCCACAGGTGAGACTCCTTTACCTAGAGCTAACACAGGGGCATGCCTCTTCCTATTGTCTCACGACTTTTAGTGGCCCAAGGCCATCAGATGGGAAATATCTAAACTACCTTGGTGATTCTGCCTTTGTTTCTGTTATCTGTCTAAACGTGTCCTTACAAGCACTTGACGATTGTAGTATATTCCAGATCACTACTGTGAAAATTTGGTCTGGACAGAAGTTTAGAAACCATGGTGTTCTTTGTGGAATGTTGCGAAAAATAATTGCCTGCTAAATTGGAAGCAGCCACATATAAGGTTGTGACAAGTGATGGCTGTCACCCAGCTGCCTCACTAAAAGGGCATCCATGTTTTTTGGGTATCGGACTCTGTGTTTGGTACTTTGCCCGCTGTATCAGTCACCTTCTATGACAGGACGGCGGGCAAAACCTTAAGCAAAGAAGGATTACTTTGGCTCACAGTCGTAGGGAACACAGTCTATTGCAGCCCCAGTGTGCAGTGATTAGAGGCTTGGTATTCCCTGTCAGGAAGCAGGGACAGTGATGGGGCTCAGCTTGCTTCCTCCTTCCCTCTCTTTGTATTCAGCCCTAGATCCTAGCCTAGAGGATAGCTCCTCCTACACTACAAACAGGCCTTTCCTACTCAGTAAACCTCCCTGGAGACACGCTCAAGGGCACACCCAGGGGGGTGGATCTCCTAAGTTATTCCAATTCTATTTAAGGTGACCATGATGATTGAGTGTCACCACCTACTTAATTCAATTTTAAGGCAGTGGAAATGTATGGAGAACATTAAAAAAAATCAGGAAACAATTTGGTAATTGATGTGATTTTTATTAGTGCAGGAAAAGCCTTTGGCTGTCCAACTTTAGCAGAGGAAGGAGTCACACCCCATGAGGATGTTTTAAATCCATTTCTGAAGTTCCACTTTACTTACGTATAGGCATCTCCTTTCACATCTCAGCCTCAGGAAGGACCATGACTCTTAGAAAATTCTCAAAGAAAAACCCATCAGGGGAATGTGAGATAGCACTCAATGTGGCTGATGAGAATTGAAACGCAATAGCTTCAGTCAAAAATGCTGCTGTGGGAGAGAGCGGGTTGGACGTGTCTGTGACTTACGCCACGAGAACGCCCCTGGTTTATTCTCGCGAGGTTTTTGCACTCTTTATTTCTCTCTGTTCTACTCAGATGCTGGGCCCCACAGAGTGCGGTTTCTGACGGGGTTCTTGTTCTCTTCTTGCAGCTGGGAAAGGGCTTGTGGAGGCATCTCACTTCTGCTATCTCACGGCTCACGTGCCCTTTGGCCACTACACGGTGAAGACAGACCATCTGGCCTTGCTGGGCAGTAGCCATAGGTATGTGACTTTTGCAGGGGAAGGGCATGGCAAAGATGTTCTTCCTGGATTGTTTTAGCCCTTGCTGGCTTCCAGGGCTTCACTATTCATTTTCTTGTGTAAATTTCAGCTTACTGCCTGCTCTTCCTCTATATCTCCTGCACACTTCTAGGCAAGGTGACCAGAGGGTGCCACATCACACCACCAGAGGGCCTGAACCGGTAACTTTGGTGTGTATTGTACCCTGATGGCCACTGGGTGGCAGCCTAGCTCCACAACCAGCGATAGTATAGAAAGAAAAATGAAAAGAGATAATTTACAAGTAGTCTGTTTTGGGGAGCCCTGGGCCTGTTCTGAGAGCCTACTTTTTGGAATCGCCACACTACTTCAATGCATTAGTGTGAACACAAGCTCTTTGGAGCCTGTTCCATTGGTTACTTGTTGTGTGGGAGCCGTACATCAGGATTTTTATGCTGAGAGAACCGCAGAGCCCCGGAGGAGTGAGCCGACATAGATAAACTTGTCCTGGTGGCCCTCACTGTTCTGGATCTTTCTATCACTTCTCTCGATAGTTAGGATTTCTGAGCAGTCATGGTATTATGGTCCTGGAATTCCAGTAGTCAAGAGGTATAGACAGGAGGATTATAGCAAGATCAGTTCTAGCCTGGGCTACACAGTGAGTTGGAGGCTAGCCAGCCAGCCGGGGCTACCGACCTGTCTGAACAGAGAATAAGAAAACATTTCTGAGATGTGGCACCATCAGTTCCTTTGCACGGTTTCTTTTGTTACAGATTTACCTTATATTAAAAAAAAAAAAAACAACCAAGGTAAATAAAGGAGGGAAAGCAGGGAACAGACAGTCTGAAAGCCTCCTCTAAGTGGCATCTGGGGCACCACGGGGTTCAGACAGACTGCAGCAGACGAACTCATAGCTGGTGTCCTCTACCACTGTGGTGATGTGCCCACTTCATAGACCCTTCTCTTGAGAGTCTAGGCTCAGACAGCATAGTCAGCTTCTCATGTCGGGGCCAAATAAGACCGTAGAGGTACCTGGGTTAATATGTCTCCTCTTTGTTGTCTATGAATCCTGGGGAAGTTTCTGGAAATATGTTAGCTTCTGGAAATATTTCTGGTGGCAGCTGGCAAGCTACGGAGGGAATCTGAGGATTATTTATACCGAGACTTTTGTTGCCCCTCGTCACAGTCACCATTGTTTTCACTCTCATTGGCCGAATCGCCTTCCTGTGCAAGACCCGCCATTTTCTTCTGGCTCAGGTGTCCTGCTCAGGCTCTACCAGACTGTCTGTGGGGCTCCTGAACTCTGCGGCTTTCTCTTCTGCTCTGGTGCGCTTGGGCTGATCTGCCTTTCCTGGGGTGTGCCAGGCCCCGGGGCCGAAGGCTAGATTTCAGTATGTCAAGGTGGGAGAATTGCAGTGTCCCACCTGCTACTAAGGAAGCCGCAGGACCTCCTTCCCATGGGCAGGTTCTTTAGGAACAGCTTCCCCAAACCCAAGGGGATGAAGGGCAAGGAGGAAGTATATCCACCTTGGGTCCCCAGTCTTTTTCTTCTCTTGGAGATGCTTGTGAGCAGCACCCCATCTTACCTTTGTAATTGTTATTTCCTGGTTCTAGTCAAGAGTTTTTGAAGTTTGCAACAACCGAGGCTATCCAGAGGACAGAAATCTTCGAGTACTGCCAGATGCTGGGCCGCCCCAAGTCCTTCATCCCTTCTTTCCAGGTAACTGAACCCAGAAGGGACCGTCAGCTTAGTTCTGGGCAGCCAGGTTTTCAGCTTTGCTGTTTGGCATCTGGTACCTCCGGCCAAGTCATTTTTCCTCAGTGTGGGAAGACTTAGGATCCCTCCCCATGTCCCTGGAAGGTTGAATTTTACAAAATTAAAGTAAAACCCTTTGGTGGTCTCTGCTGGAGGTTTTGGCCTCACTCTGGACACATGGAAATCTTGCTGCAGTTCTGCCTCTGCCTTGCTTTGCTCCTGCTGCCTCGGGTTCTTCTTGTCCAGCACGTCCTCTCTCTCCTCTTCAACTGGCTGCTCAGCTTCTCCCCTCCTCACCAGGCCTCTTTCCTTGGGAGCCCCCTCCTGCTCTGTCCTGGGTCAACTATCTCCTCCCTCTCAGGGCTTAAGCTGAGCAAGTGGCAAGCACACTGCCAAGTTCTGTTCTCTCGTCTCAGCCTGCATTTGACGTCTCGTTGTTTTCTTTTGTCCATAGTGACTGCTGCTGGCATTGCTTCTGCCCCCAGTCTGATCTCCCATGAGTTTGAGACCTGGCATCTAGTAGCCTTTTCTCATCTCTCTTGCTGGTGTGGAGTGTAAGCTTTCCTAGAGCCTGTGCTGTAAACTGGCCTAAAACTGAGGTAGTTTGTTTCTGTGCTTGGGACAGGACTATTCTAGGCACAGCCCTGGCTCCAAGGCTCTCAGCTCACATTTACTAGACACTACTCTTTGTTTTCTTTCCTTTTTATGGGTAGATACCTTTCTTCTCTACCTTGAGCATCCTCTTCAGGCCTGAGTGTAACTAGTCTTTCTCTGTCCCATCAGTCAGCTCCCAAATAAAGACACGGAAACTTCTTATTAATTATGAAAGCTTGGTCTATAACTTAGACTTATTCCCAACTAGCTCTTATATTTTAAATTAATCCATAGTTTTAAATCTATGTTCTACTATGTGACTTTTTACCTTTATTTCCGTCTGCACCTCTGATTTGTTATGTGACTCCTGGCATTTTCCTCTGTGTGCCTACATTTATCTGCAGTTCCTCTCTTTGCCTGGAAGTCCCACCTACTCTCCCTGCTTAGCTATTGGCCATTTGGCTTTTTATTAAACCAACCACAGTGACACATCTTTACACAGTATAATCAAATATCTTGCAACATTTTCTTTTTTTGTCTAAATAAAAAGAAAGGTTTTAACTCTAGCACAATAAAACTATATTTAATAAGAACAATTATTAGGTAGCAATTACATCTACAATGTCCAGCCCATTTGTATTTGGCAACTTTAGAGAAAATTCTCTATCATTTGTCCTATCTTTCAAGTTCAAAGTTTTATACTTAAACCACTTTTTATCATTACTTGTATTAGCAACCCAAAGCTATAGTTTTAGACCTAAAAACATTTTCTTAGATAAATAATTTAAACTTTTATGTTTCTCCACCTTATAAACTTTACATCTCTTATGCAAGTTTTTTTCCTGAATTTTGGTAACAAGGAAAACTGTAACTATAAGTATCTCATCTTCAACTCCATCAGAGACCCAGGAAAGAGATAATATTACCTGACTAAACAGGAAGTGCAGAGAAAGCAACTTACAAAACTATAGAAATGACAGAATCATCTGGCTGCTTTGACAGTCACCTAAGTTTTCCCTGTACTGTTGGGGCATCTGTATTTGGTCTACAGGCCTGGAATATCTTACATACTTTTCTATGAAGCAGCAATTTTGAAGAACTGTCCCACCTAGTCTTGGCAAAGTTCAGTCTTTTTCCTTTGTGTCCTGCTTGTCTAATTTGTACAGTATACTGTCAGCAGTTGAGGCAAGGGTAATTTCTTGACCAAATGACTAGTTTTGCCACACACACAATGAAAGAAAACTCCATATGGAGATTAGATATGTCTCACTGTCATGAAAAGCCTTATTATCAAAACATTTTAAATGACATATTCTGTAGGTGTTTTTTGAAGTATTTGAAGACCACTTACCTATTTAAAATATATCTCTTTGACCCTGAAAACATGCATAGCATAACTATAAGTTTGACTGTTATAGAAGACTAACTACCAACCTGTTTTTATCTATTATTCTAAATAGCTTTCAAGAACTAAAACTTTACATTACATCTTTAAATGAGCTGTATAGATATAATACCTTAAACAAGAGTAGAACATATATACAGTATAGCAAAAATAGCCTTAGATTTGTGTCAACATACAAAAATCTATACCAACAGAAAATATTTGAGATGAGTAGTTGTTCAAAAGTAGGCTCAACAATTCACCCTTTTATCCCATTATTTTTATACTGTATCCCCCTTTTACTCTTCAGAAAGAGATTCCTGAATCTAATCTTCTTTGTTCAGCTTTTCTCCCAATCATGACCAATAGCAACTTGTAACCAATCCCCCTAACCAGTGACAAATAGCTATAACCCACAATGACCCAAAACCACTCACCCCACTTCTTGGGAATGTGGACATTGTGTCCTTGAGACTGTTACCTGTTTTCTGGGGGCCAACAGCATCTCCAGGCGACCCTGAGAAAATTGAGATAATGGTGAAGTCCTAAGAAAACTAGCTATAACATTGTTGTCTAATCTCTATATGATGGGAAAGTGGAAGGCTTATCTGAAGTCCTGGCTAGAATAGTTTATGAGGCTGGACCATCTCAGCTAGCAGCTTTGAAGTTGTTGTGATTGCAGAACTCTGAGGAAACTGCAACAGAGGTACTATGAAAGGCTGGATCACCCGGGCCACCCATTTTCATTGGTGTCTAGTACCCTTGTTCTGAAAAATTTCAAAGGTAATATACATATTTGCATTAACATAAGTATGGACTGTGTGTTATACACAAGCCATACAGAGATGATTTTTTGTTTTATGTTTGAGAAGGTAAAAGATATCTGCCAACTTTATAAGTTTGTTTGGGCTGTATAACCAAACCTCTGTCCATGCCATTTGAAAGGATGGCATGTGATAATGAGTCATGAAGACTCTGTAGCCAACAAGATTTATCATGTCTCACCCAGTCTCAGAGCTGTTCCCATAGCAGAGGGACCAGCATATACATCACCTATCCTGTAATCTGTCTTGGTTTCTTTTTTATGTCTGTAGCTTAGATTTTTAGGAGGTCTCCCCCAATCAAATCTGATCTTCATTAATTTTGAAGAAAGCCATAACTTCTTGTTTCCTGTAGAAACAAAAGCAAAACTTCTTCCCTCAGTACAATATATTTTTTGACTTTCATTTTGAAGTTAAGGCATTCTTAAAATATATTTATTGGTTGGTTTAATTTAGCAGTTTTCATAATCCAATCTCTCTCAGCAGATACTGTTTTTCTTTGTTCATTAGCATTTAAAAAAATTTCAAAGTCAATAAAGCAACATACAGGATCCAGACATGCTATGTATTTCCCATTTTATGTGGCTTATTCTTTCTATATTACTTTATTTTTTTCTTTAAAGACTTTATTTGACTTTTTAAACTATTTATTTTTTAATGCCTATACACATTTTCATTTCTTTCTTTAGAATCTAAGCACATTTTAAAACGTACCTTTTTAGAGGTTTTCTGTGTCTGGACTGGCTTTACTAAGTGCCTGCAGTGTTTTCTGACCATATGAGATAAATCTTAAACTGCATGTCAGCCCCTGCATGGGTTCAGCTTAGTGCATGGTGTTGGCAGCTGGCTGCAGCCTGCAGGCAGCAGCCGGGAGCCACCTCTGTGTGTTCTGTGGCCTGCCTGAGAGACTGGGAGACTAGCAAGCCATGTCTGGCTCCATGTTTGTGTGTTTGGAACTTTGCTTTTTAGACTTTCTCAGGTCCTATGGGGAAATATATACCCATGTTGGGTACTATATGTATTAAGTCTTTCTCTGTCCCACCAGCCAGCTCCCGAATAATAATATGGAGACATTATTAATTATGAAAACTCAGCCTATAGCTTAGACTTATTTCCAACTAGCTCATATATTTTAAATTAAACCATAATTTCAAATTTATATCCTACCGTGTGACTTTTTATATTTCTTTCATTCTTTATCTCTGACTTATCTGCGACTCCTGGTGTCTTCCTCTGGGTGCCTAGATTCGTCCCAGTTCCTCTCTTTGCTTGGAAGTCCTATGTAGTCTCCCTGCCTAGCTATTGGTCATTTAGCTTTTTATTAAACCAATCACAGCGACACATCTTTACACAGTGTAATGAAATATCTTGCAACATCAGAGACCTTTTCTAATGATTGGATGTCCTTCAGTGCCTGCTGTTGAGAATGAACATAGCTATAATAGCAACACATAACAGTACAAAACATGCAACCTTGGAATGAATCACTGTATTGTAAATAAATAGCCCATTTAATTTCTCTTCTTTGAGAGTTTTCACAGGACTAACTGCTCTTCTACATGGCTTCTGCACAGGCACTTTGGTTTCTTTTCTCTTTCTTCTTCATTTATCCTACCCACAAACTCTGTTGGCACTGCTCTGGGCTGAGAATCATAACATAGCTATTTTTATTGACTGTTTCCCATACTCAGCATTATATACTTTGCGTCTTGAATATTATTTCTAATCCTATGGGGTTTCCCCTTTTGCAAAAGAGGTAATTGAGGCTCAGAGGGTTTGGTATGTTCCCAGCTCATTTGTGCACACCATCTGTTCTAAGTACTTTGTGTGAATCACCTCATTTTATCTTTATAGCTTTCAAAGAAATAGGTGGTATTGTTCATGCCATAATGGGGGAACTGAGTCACAGAAAAGGAAGGGAACTAGCCCAAATGTCCCACACCTAGTATGGGCTTGGATTGGATCGGTTTTGTTTACACCAGAAGCATCATACTTGATCTCGCCCTATAGCGCCTTCTCTGAAGGCCCCTGCGCACTCCTGCATTTTCTCTGCGCTTCCGTCTGGACTCAACGCCCTTTGCAGAGGGTCTCATTTTGTATCTTCATGTGGACCCTTGTGCCTGGGACGGTACTTCATGTGCCCAGGCTCCCTGTGATGTGTACTGTTAGATAAAAGGGCTGCCTGTCCAATGGAGCATGGGAAGATGCGTTGATGTGACCCCCCCCATCCTTTTCTCCATAATGTAGGAACTGTATGTAGGCTGGATTTGGAGTTGTGCCCATATACAGATAAATTGCCCCAAATGGCACAGGGCCCTTGCTATTTGGATGCCAGAGCGAGCGGAAGCTGGCAGTCAGCTGACTTCCAAGAAGTCTTATCTCCATTTCTCTCCCCCTCTCCTGCCTGGATGGACTCATCACTGGCCCGGTTTCTCTTTGCAGGTGTATAAGCTCCTTTATGCTTCCCGTCTGGCAGATTATGGCCTGGCATCCCAGGCCCTGCATTACTGTGAAGCCATTGGTGAGGCTGTCCTGAGCCAGGGAGGGAGCAGTCACCCTGTGCTATTAGCACAGCTCATCAAGGTGAGCTTCTCAAAGGGGTCTCTGTGGGTGTTTTATCTTCAGCGTTCAGGGAAGCCATTGCAGAGAGGCTTAGACTCCACGTTTCATCTTCTTTGAACAAGCTGCGAAATTGGAGACCACAGCTGTCTTTGACCATGTATGCATGCCCCGATGTGATAAGCAGAAGCCTGCCTGCACAAAGAACAACTGGCCGGACAGGGGGCGGTCGGGCTGGGGAACTGGAAAGCGGGCATTGTTTCGCTTGAGAAGTTCCATGCCTCTGTTTTCCTGGTCCAGTTAAACTGCTAGCTGTGGTGAGCTGTCCTGATTACCAAAGCAGGCCTTCGAAAGTAGATTTCAGTGATTAAAACAGGAAATGATCCTTATTAAAATACTTTTAAATGCATAGAATATTTTATCACGTGTGGGACACATAAAAAAAAAAGAAAGAAAATAAAAACATACCAGCCCTTAGTTCCTTGGGAAGAAAACAACAATCAGGCAAATAGTTGTTCCAATTAACTGAAGAAAAACTCCATTAGCCAGAGAGTAGAAGGCGCTGTGCGCTTCAATTTGCATGTTGCTTTACACGAGGCCCACGTGTGAGATTCTGTAACCAATAAAGTCTGTGCCGCAGAGGTCCCCTTCCCCCCCATGTGCTGACATTTCAGCTGGAGGATTGATGGTCCAGATACAGAGCATGATGATGCCTCGAATCAGAAAGCAGCATCAGGTTGTTAGCGATGTAGATCGGAGCTCCTTCCTGCCCAGGCCAGAACCAGAATTAGCATGAACAAGATGCCCATGTTTCCCACATTCCCATTCTAGAGGTTTCTTGCGGAGAAGACAGCTTTGTAGAGCACAAAGCTGAGGAACTATTTTTTAACTCTCATATTTGGGGGAAATAATGCCAAAATGGGTTGCTTATTTATTTATGCTGCAATTTTGGGAGGAGATCGGCTGAATTTGTTATTTCTCGATTATTCTTTATAATGTGATGTGCGAGTGAATTACGACTCCATCTCCCTCCTTCTTATTGCCTCTTTCCCCTGTTGTCTTCCCTTGTGCCCCATTTCTCTCTCTTCTCGTCCTCTCTCACTTTCTACCCCCTGGCCCACCTGGAAACTCGGCTCAGCTTGCAGAGAAACTGAAGCTGTCAGACCCTCTGGTTTTAGAAAGACGCGCTGGGGACAGGGAGCTGGACCCAGACTGGCTAGTACAACTGCGGAGGCGGCAGAAGGAACGGGAGGTGAGCAGGGTGGTGCAGGGTCACATAGACTGGACACAGAGGGGCCCAGTTCCCAGCCCTGGGCATCTCCTATCACTTCTGAGGCAAGGTCAATGTCCCCAATGTTGGAATTCAGAGGTTTCTGTTCACTGCATTTTCCTTTGTTTGCCTAGTGCCACAGGGGGGCGCTCTTCCCAGCCACTCTTGCCACTCTGTCTCTTCACAGCCATCAAAGCTTCCCCATCTCCGTTAGGAACAATGGATCACAGTGGACCTGTGTCACTTTCATGTAATGTAGGGCAATTGCTTAAAAGACTTCCGGGCCTTTCCTTTTTGTTCTGACAATTGCAAAAGCTGCTGGCCATAATCAGAAGAGTAATTGGAGCAGGGCCTCCCCATTTCCTTTCTTCCACTCTGCTCTGAAGACAGGACAAAGTGGGTTTTTAAATGTACACTGCCCTTTCACCTTCCCTGGGTAGCGAATTCTGAGGCCCACAGTTTAGTTCCTTGCTTTGGCCCCTCACTCTGGGGAGGATGCTGACACTGGCTGTAGCTATCCTGGCCTGCTCTGAGCTGAGCACGGAGACCTAAGAAACAGTGTCTCATCTGCATGACTCTGGGCCCTGGGCATCTCAGTGGCGTTTCCTTGTCTGGCCATGGCTATTCCCTCGGGACATTTCTTATTAACTAAGTTTCCCCATTACCTTGTCTTCTGCCCTGATTTTCTTTATATTGTTTAAAAAAGGATTTTCACTTTATTTCAAACAGCAAAGTAAAGCAGGAGACCTTGGAGACCTCAATTCTACTCATTCACATATTTATGGAGCCAGAGGAACAACAGGTACTGTGCGCAAAGCTCTGACTGCTATAATGTGACTAAAATACTTTCAGCCACACCCACACGTCCCGTTCCTTCATGTCTTCTTTGTCTGGGAATTAGGCCCGTTGATCCAGACTGCCTTTTCTGACTGGCCCTTGCTGGGCTTACACACCTGGACACATCCGAATTCCTGTAGCATGAAGGTTTTTTACTTTGTAGGCTGGGTTTTCAAATACTTGACTATTTCATGTTTTTTATTGCTAGCTAATTGCTTCACTTGTGTGAATACCTTGCTCCCAGTTAGATATCTTTCTTGAGTCCAGAGAGTATACATTATTAGTATTTTATATTAGTGTTCTAGACATTGGAAGAATGAAGATTTTGAGCTTTCAATCAGCCATATAAGTTTCAAAGTGTTTTCTTAACCTCCTTATTCCTCCCCCAGCCTGCCTCTAAGTGTCCAGTCAGTAGGAGTTAAATTCCAAATTAACTCCATACATTTCCCTGAAGTCATTCCCCCGATTCAGACAAGGACCCTTGTCTCTTGCCTTCTCTTGCTTGCTGGATGGGCAGAATGTAAGGGGAGGTTTTGGCTTCTGTTTCCTGTCTTTTTGAGAGCCTGTCTGGGTGTTTCTACATGATGGCGTTCTTCCAGCCCTGGAACATAAAGGCTGGCACTCCACAACATCCCTGTACCCTCGGGCCAAGCATTTCTCACACCCACACCTTGATTGATCAGACCAGCAAGGCCCCTTCCAGGGCAAATAGACCCCAATTCTTTACAACTAAAGTTATCATTTCTAGAATGTCATTCAATTTTCTTTCAACTGTGAGCTTTTAAAGTCTAATGAGGCCTGCTTAAAGTAGAATGTGTAAACACCCAAATACTAAAAGGTGTAGAGTTCAGTCGGATGCCGATTCTGGCCTCTCAACCCATAGGAGAAAGGCCCTGAGATCCTCCCAGAGTGGAGGGCACCATTCTGAAGGCAGCAGGGAGGGAGTTACTGTTTGCCAGTGCTTTGTTTGCTGCTGTTAGGAAGCCACACGGAGCAACCAGTCTGTGTGATTGCTTTGTGGAGAGGGCAAGAGCAGGAATGGCTGAGAATGATTTGTCTGTAACTGCCACATCATCTTCCTTAGACACTTCCTACCAGGATCTTCCAGGATATCAAAGCTACGCAGGAGACCCTGGGTACAGCTCAGCCCCGTGGCCGACGCCTGAGCAGACTGGCCTGACCCAGCCCATCCCTCAGCAGCCTTTGCCCCCACAGCGAGATCCCTACTCAGAGAGAGAAGATTTGGGGCACATGGGGACCCCGGTGCCTCTTTATTCGGTTCCTGCAACCCACATGTCAGTGACCAGTGGCGATGGCAGCAACCACAGTGTGGCGGTGACAGGGGCTCCTGGAGCAAGGGCTGGGGAGGAAATGCCGCGGACACATCCTTCCCTTGGTAAGACCTGCCAGCCAGGGGGAGGGTGGAAGTCTTGGTGGTAAAGAGGCAAGTGAGGGAGGCATGGGGGACCGACTGGAGGAAGGGGGCTTGGAACTAACAAAGGCACATGGGGAATACACTTTTGCTCTGCTCTGGCTAGCCTGAAGGAGTGTGTTCTCTTCTAGCCCACACACCTCAATACGGGAAAAAGCAGAGCAGGACAGACATCACTATTCTGTCTTTTCCTTGGAATATGTAGTTTGACATACCAAGGTTACAAAGCAGTGACGAAAATGCCCCATGTCTCATGGATAGTGGTCATGGGGCTTCTTTGTGGCATCATCTTTGACCCAGGAGCTTATTCACAGAACCTGTGACTGGGACTGTATTCCTAGTCTGGTTCGACATTTCTTCAGGCCTGAAGGCCTTGGGGAGAAGGAGCCTACACGTGGGGGAAAGGCACTGAGGGATGCGAGGGAATTTCTGGGTACCACAAAGGAAGATTAGACCACAGCCCCTTAACATAAAGCCTTAGCCGAGATAGAGATCCGCATGGAAGGAGGGTAGGGAACAGCCCCTGAGATCTAGCTCTATGCTGCTGTGACTTCTTACATACCTATGGAACAATCTTGGTGTTTAGCAGGGAGAGTTGGGTTGACCAGTGTGTCACGAGGTGGCCTGAATTGAGTGGAGCCGAGCAAGTAGATTTTGCATTTGCGGTGACCTGCTCGTGGTATAAACTCTTACCACTTAAGCCACTGGGTCCCCGTTTCCTTTATTCAAGATGGGTAGGAAGAGCACAAATTGAGGCTCTTTGTTTTTCTCTGGTGCTTTAGGGGAGAACACAGCCCCTCAAGAGCCCCTACAAGATCCCGATGGTCTAGAAGTTGTTTCCAGTCCTCAGGTGAGTAGACAGTAGGAGAACTACCGGTAACTACTCCAAGGCATCTGCCGTTTGCTATTGGCCCCTGGTTTCTCAGCCACACCCAGGCTCCCCTCAGGCATTGGGAATGCTTTCTTCTACCTTGTGCAAATCGTTCCTTGTTTCTTTTCATCTGAAACCCCGAGAGTTGGAAAGGAGGCTGTGTTCGTGAGATGCTCAGTCCCGCCCACCGCCCAGCCTGTGTCTCTGGGGACAGAGCAGCACAGAGCAGTAGAGACGGCTGAGAGGTGGCTCTCTGTTCTTCCGCACCCTCTTCTTCCATGTTGAGGAGCAGCACTGGTGTTTGTTTTGACATTCACCTTGGTTTCTGTCAGATCTCTATGTTAGGACTGAGAGTACCTGATGTCTCTTCTGCCCAATTCTTCTTTCTACCTATTGCCGACAGACTGCACAGCACTCAGCTCTGATGCCAAACAAGATATTCTGCAGCTTTAAACGATTACATCACAGTTTTTTTAAGTAGCAATGGGCTATAGATCTTTTGCTTTTTTTAAATTTAGATTTATTTATTTTTTATGTGTATGTATGTTTTGCCTGCATGTATGTCTGTGTACCATGTGTGTGCCTGGTACCCTCAGGGGCCAGAAGAAAGAACCAGATCTCCTGAAACTGGAGTTATGGATGATTATGAGCCACCATGTGGGCACTGGGAATTGAACCCAGGTCTTTGGAAGACCAGACAGTGCTCTTAACCACTGAGCAATCTCTCAGCCCCAGGGCTATGGATCTTTTAAAAAATTATATTTTCCTTTTGCAGAAAAAGTAGTATACTATTGTTATAGAAAAATTAAAATGAAGAATCAAGTAAATACTACTCAGAATTTCATAGTAAATGTTTTGGCTCTCCCATTAGTTTTTTCCCCATGTATGTGCATATATGTACATATATGTATATTAATAAATATATATGTACATGCTTTTCAATAGTTAAAACAGGTGTATTTTTTCTACTTGTTATTTAACACCATTTAAGATTTTTTCTATCATTCACAAGTTTATTTTCAGAAATAGTATGACAAGATCCATTGTGTGAAAGTATTCCATTCTTTTGCAAGTGTCTGCCAGACTCTAACAGCATGCCAGGCACTGTGGTGGGGCTGGGCATGCATCAGTGGACAGATAGAGCCAATCTGATGGAGGGAACTAGAGAGGAACAGCACCATGCAGTGGGTGGCGAGGAGAGATCAGGGCCATGTCTCCCAGGAAGTGTTTGAGCAGAGATCAGAGGACAGCATGAAAACGAGTCAGGTGACTGGGGAGCGAGTATCCCTGCATGGACACACTTGGATTCGTGAAGGAAGATCCCTGCTAGACTGTGGAGTGCGCAAGGGAGGGGACCTAGAAACAGGCCTTTTCTTCTCTGCTGTTTCCCCTCCAGCCCCTCCTTTTCTGCTGTGCTTTTCCATTCCCTGCCTCCTTTCTTTTACTCTTACACAGCACAGACTGTGGCCAACCTAGGATATAGGCTCTTGTCTCTGTCTTGACTTACTGAATTGGAAGAGATTCTTAGGAGGAAAGGCAGGTTAGAGTTCCCTCTCTGTGTTTTACCAGCTGTGTGTCGTCGGGCATGGCTGCTTGCTGGTTTTCTCATATTTGAAACTAAATGATAATAATAGCGCACTTCTCACGGTGCTGTGGAAAGGATTCAGTGGATCGTGATATGGAAAGCACTGAGAACAGTGTCTGATACACTGAAGACATTATAACCATACAAATAAAAAAATGTAGCCCTTCCTATATTTTTGTTATAGTATTTTGCATAGTTTTTTATTAATTATGCTCTATTGAGAATATAAAATGAAAATACAATATAAAGAGCAATATGTTGCATTATTACACTCATATGAGATACCTAGTATAGGCAAACCCAACGAGACAGGCTAGAATGGGGCAGAGGTGGCTGGGGTATGAGGATGGGGCTAGGGAGGTAGTGTTTCTGATGGGATGAGGAGAAATGCTAGGCATTTCTGCTGATATCTGACATCACTGTGCATATACTTAATGCCACTGCGTTAGACATGGTTAAAGTGAACTTTATTGGCTATGCATATTTTACCAGGCTAAGGGGAAGTTAGTAGGAAGTGGGGCGTGGGTGTTTTTGGCTCCCTTCTGGTGTATATGTTCAGTTATTCTTGGGAGAGCCTGTTAGGAAATAAGCTCTGAGGTTAGATGCACTGGCTGCTAACTTTTCTGGCTTTGGAGTGTGAGGGTCTCTCAGAGGCGCCCCCAGAACCTTTTTATTCCCAGCAGTAGCTTCCAGTTCTGGAGACTCTGACCTGGACAGGTTATATGACAGACAAACCCGCAGTGTTAGGGAGGAAATAAAGACTGGGCGGGTCTGGGCTTGTCTTTTCACCTGTGTTCAGGCATTTTCATGGGGAAGACTGCCTCCCTCCCCAGCAGGAAGGGATCTCCCGAGGCTAGCCTTGGGTTCGGAGTGAGAGGTCATATGGACATGTGCTCTGCCGTCTGTTAAACTCCTTGTGAATCTCCGTTGTTTCATTTTATCTCAGGCACCACCAGCTCCCAGGGCTCGAAGGTTTTCTGAGGATTCCACAGTTTCAGCCAAGGAAGATGAGGGGGGATCTTCGGATGGGGCAGACGAACCATCTCACCAAGATACTTCACAGAGAGGAAAGCCAGGGGATGGAAAAGCGGCTACAAAGGTGGAAGACTTGTTCTTTTCTGTATTCCCCAGCTTCATCCCTGTTTCAAACAGTGGATCAGAGTCCAAAGCCACCCCTCCCCCCAACACGCATGCCCGGCTGGACAGCTCTCACAGTTGGTGAGAGAAAAAAGTTCAGTGGCCTTAACAATTCCCCTTGCCCTTCAGAGCTCTGGATTTGGCTGGTTCAGTTGGTTTCGATCAAAGCCTGCCAACAGTGCATCCCCCTCTGGAGATGAGGACTCCTCGGGCAGCTCTGACTCAGAGGTAACCTCCACAGATGGGCTGGCAACCCCTCCCTGTAGACCCAGAGGAAACCCAAACACATCATAGCTCTGGCATCACACTCTGACTTGGGCTGAAAGAAAGGAGACCACAGGAAATAAATCTGTTTTTAAAGGCAAAAAGCAGAGTGAGACATACCTTGGAAGTCAGACATAGTGGCTCATGCCTGTAATCAAAACTTTTGGGATGCTGAGGCAGGAGTATTGCTTTGAGTTCTAGGACAGCTTGGGCTACATAGTTTGACCTTATTTCACAAAAACAACACACCCACGAGCGCGCACACACGTGCACACACACACACACATACACACACACACACACACACACGAGAGTGAGAGAGGGGAGGAGGGGGAAGAGGACAGAAATATTAGAAAATTAAGATGGAGAACTTTTACTTCAGAGGCTCAGCAACAGGAAGCTGGCCCACATTCTTAGAAGCTTCACAGAAGGAAATGGTGTTGGTGGGGAGTTGCCTACGTGGAGATCACCACTGTGGATGCCAGAACACATGTAGGTTGGCATGAATTTGCTGAGCACTGATGTCATCCCGCCTTTTTCCCACCAAGCAGGAGTCTCCCAGCACATCACCTCCTCACCATACCGGCCTGGGTCTCTCACCAACACCTCCACTTGAGTCCCCATCGCTCTCAGATGCCAGCACCTTCTCCAGAGGCATAGGTACCACCAGTTTTGTCTTTTGGGTCATTTCTGGTGCTTTTGGTGCTCCTAGACTGGCTCTACTCTCTTGGGTGTGGGGACTCCTCAGTTTTGAGCATGTGAGACAGCTCTGATTCCTTGCCTTCTAGGTGGGAGCAATCCACTTGGATCTTTGGACAGCAGTGGGAGAGCTGAGGTCACTGGGATTGGAGGTTTCTCAGGGACACAGGTGAGCAGGCTACGAACTGGGGCCTAGGAGTCCAGAAGACCCCTGTGTGTGTGAGGATTGAATGTCTTCAGCAGCCTGAGGAGCATATATCTCAGGATATGGAGACAACTTCTGAAAGACTTTGCTCCAGCTGCCTATGTAGTACCTCAGCCTGGAGGGTCTAGACAATGGCAGGGCAGGTTCTCACAAATCTAGGGCATGCAGAAGTGCATGGCCAAGGCGCTGCTGGCTGATCTGATTTCTTCTGAGGCTTTCTCTTTGTTTTGCAGCTGGCTGCTCTCCCCATGTCTTCACTGGATCTTTGCTCTGTATATGTCTGTGTTAACTTTCCTCCTTTTGTAAGGACACCACGCTTGTTGGGTGGGGCACCTGTGCAGCTTCTTTAAGGATTCTGTCTCATGCTGAGAAACTGGGACTTTATCATGTGCAGTTTTGGAGGCTCACACTTCAGTCTGTACAGCTTAAATGGAGTTCAGGGACTGACTGCTTCTTCTGGCACATGAGTGGGAAGTGGAGCTCACTCATGTGCACTTGGCCGGGCCTATCATAAATTCTGTACGAATTGTCTATATAGCTAGGGATTTCATGACTATTCCTAGGAAAATGTTTCTATTTCTTGAAGCCTGGTTGAAGTACCCTTGTACTATCTGAGGCCTTTTGAAGAGTTTAATAGTGATTTTAATGTTCTGATGTAATTTATTGTGACTTTTTTTTCCCTACTTTCTTTGGGTCTAAGGGATCCTGTCTCTGAATGGCCATGCCAGGTCCTGGCATTGGTTGTGGCCACTTGAGTTTTATTAGAAAGCCTTCTGTTGTCCAACACTGATTTCTGTGGGAGGTTCTAATCTACCAGGAAGCAGCCATGGATCAGATTCTCTGTTATTTGCATCCACAGGGTGCTTCTTCTGAGTTCTACTCCCAGCCAGGTGCTCTGCCTCCTCCACCCACCTTGCAGGGCGCCGTTCCTCTCTACAATCCGTCTCAGGTCCCTCAGGTAAGGACCATCCTTATGGGAAGGGGTTAAGAGGTCAGGTCATAGAAGGGTGGCACACAATTCCGCTTTTCCACACACCGAATGTGAGTTCCTGGGTAATTAATGAGCCTCTCCTAAGCCTCTGTTTCTACATCAGTAAATTAGAACTAGCAGAAGTTATTGCAAATATAGTATGTTTGTAATATGGTACCTAGAAAATGCTCAAGAAATGTCACAGCTCTGAACATCACTCTTAATCTGTAATTGATCCTGAGACACGAGAGACACAGTGCTGATGTTTCGGTGTGGTCCTGTCTTGGGGTGAGGGGATTCCTGTAAACTTTGAGAGGAACCATACCCTCTGCTCCTCAGTGCCCTAGGATGGCTCCAGATATATTCTTTGGTCTTTGCTCTTTACAGCTGCAGTGGGTACCCTTGCTCAACATGCTAGTCCCATAGTGGAGACATTTTCAGAGCAATCCTCTAGTGTTGTGTCTCTTCTTTTCCAGCTTTCTACAGCTACTAACCTGAACCGGCCAAATCGCCTAGCCCAGCGCCGCTATCCAACCCAACCATGCTGAGAGTGAGCATTTGTTCCAGGCTTGTGAGAATGACCGACCACTCATCCATCCCGGCCTCACCTCATCGCCTGGAGCACCTTTGCTTCCATGGCTCTCCACCTCTCAGTGCCCAGCTCACCTCATTCAGGGACTCACTGTGAACCACGGAACAAGGGCTACCTGGAGTTAAAGGACAGGATCTCCCTAGACTCAACTTGGTCCAGCCTTCAGTTTAGCTTTAGAGTGATAGGAATTATCTCATCGGATGGAGGAGCAGGGGATAATGTCCTCAGTTGATTGTCACGGCAGCAGCACTTGGGGTGGGAGCTTGAGACCCTCAGGAAAATGAGGGTCCTGAGGATCCTATGACAAGAACCAAAATGACACTACCGGGCTATGCAGCAGGGACTCGGAGCAACATCCCAGAATAGCTTGGACTCCTTCCTTCGAATGCTTAAAGATCAGTTTATGGCTCTTGTTAGCAAAGTTTTTACATTGAATTTGATTATTGCTGCCCTTCAGTGATTCCTTTTTCAATGACATTTCAGCAATTTTCCTCCTGGTCCCAGTTTTGAGCACATTTTCTATGTGGTTCAGACTAATTATATTTCTCTCACTTTCTTAGCTGGTCCTATTTTTTCACATTCTGACATCTGGCTATCAAGTTAGATTGCTGTAGGCATCATATTGTCATGGTAACTACTGAACCTAATGATGCAGATGGATGGAACATCAGTATAATAAATAATGGAAAACGTTTCCTAAAAACGTCATCCTTTCCAGAAGAGGGGAGGAATGAGTGTCTCATATTGTTAATACCTGCCTTCCTACCTCAGGCCTTTGCAAATGGATGTTCTGAGGGTCACTGGATGTTCTGAGGGCCCGATGGAGGAGGGAGAGATCTTGGAAATTTCCATTTTTTTCCTTTCAAACCTCAAATAGGAATGATTCTTGCTGTTTGTCAGATTTGCTTCAAATTGCTCCTCACAAAGAACATTTTTTGTATGCGTAATTGTACATAAAAGTTTTGTACTTTAATGTACTATGGTTCTGATGTTGATAGCGATTAAATCCAGATAATTTTATAGCAAATGCTTGTCTCTGGCTGGTTTCTGCAGAGGGAAAAAATACATTGATGGTCTCTTCCCTGAAGTCTTTCTAATAATGGTTCCATTGTGTGATCAGGTGTGAATAGCTAGAAAGAGTCCTTTGTTAATGGAGAATCAAAGACTGGTCCTCTTAACTTCCAGGTCTACTCTAATACTATCATTTTTTTTCCAATTTAAGAAGCAGGAACAAAAGCTCCTCTAACCAACTAGTCACTTCGCCAGATGAATGTGGCATATTCTGTTTCTTATTTTTTCCATCTTAGATGAAATTAGAAACCATGTACATATTTTTTTTTGTACCTGGAACACCCTCACAATGTGCAGCTTTCTTCTCTTCCTAAGACTCCTGCTTCTTAGCTTTGGTATGTTGGCCCCTTGCTGCAGTACGCTAGCAGTTGGGTGTGAGTATCCCAGGCACCAAGCTGTCAAGACTTGAACCCTACCCATGTACAGTTTACCTTGTGACCATAGACAAGGTGGCTTCATTGTCCTGTGTTTCAGTTTTCTCATTTATAAAATTATGGTAATGATAATAATACCTGCCTTACAGGGAAAAAGCTGGAATTAAAAGAATGAAGGTCCTGGAAATGTGGACGGTTCACATTAAGAGCTTTGTGTTTCAAATTATTAGTGCATAATTAGTAAGTAAAATATAGGACTTTGACTTTTGTCTGCCAGATTTCTTGTGTTATTTTTTTTGATATAGTGTCTGGTGGGAATGGTATTTTTAAAATACTTCTCAAGATGTTTCTTAGTTGGAAAGTCAGTTTCCCCGGTATCCAATCTGCCACCTTGTTCGACCAAAGGCATAGTTTCCCTGGGAGTAACAGCACAGGGAATGTCCTACCAAAGAAAGAGAGCACTTCAGAGGAAGTCCCTGAAGACCCAAGAAGAAGGTCAAGACCTCCATGTTCAAGTCCTTACTTCTCTGCTCAGGCATTGCAGGAAACCAATGACTACAGTGTTCAACAAAGCAAGAAAGCACCGAGCTTCCTTAAATCCTCAACAGAACACACAGCTCTGAATGCAAGGTCTTCCTGGGAGGGACTGACAGGATGTTTTATGCACCAGAGAAGGAGGAGGTTCATGATACTTATGCTAATTCATGACGGAACGTTTTCACCGTGGCAAAGTCAGAATGTGTCCATCAGTCTGTGTATGCTTGATTAAAACAAATCCATTGCTCATTGATCAGGAGAGTTAGGTTCAGGAAGGGTCTGGTGAATTGGGGTTACTCCAAGTTCTTCATTGTTTAGCATCTTTGAAATGTGTAGCCGTGGCCATGTTACTGAAGGTCACAGTTGTTTAACAGCTATAATTGGTAGAAACTAGATGTGGTGAGACACATCTATTTTTTACAGTTATTTTCTCCCCTCCTTTTACAAGTGAGGAGGATATGGTGGAAATGGGAAAACAATGGTTTTGGACACCCTTTCCTCTTCCACAGCCTAGGAGGGCCTGCAAGATTGACTTGGTACTACGGCCAATGTGTTGGGGGCCATAGTAGCTTGATCCTGGGGATGGCCATGTCTGTAATGAGAGATAGAGCTCTCTCTAAAAGGGAATAATCTAGAAGAAAATAATTGCAGTTTCCAAAAAGGCCAGAGGGACCAGTGGTGTTCAGAAGACAATAAATCTAGACAGAAACAGAGAAAGACACAAAGAAGCTGTGTGGGCCATACACCTTTCCTTTCACCAAGTGTCATTTGAGGAGAGAGACAACAAACAGAATTCTATATTTAAGAGAGAATAAATGGGCAAAAGACACCATTTAAAAGGAAGAGCTTGAGACAAGTGTGTTTTCTTCTGTTCTTCAGTGGAGCAGAAACTTGGAGGGAGGATAATTCAGTGAAGGAAAATAAAGCCACATTTTCCTTGTGAAACTGGGTGGTAAATGCAAATTTGCAATTCAGTTATATACATATAATTTAATATTTATATGAAAACATTTAAACTTAATGTTCAGTAATTTGGAAGAGAACAAACCGTTAAATTCCCTTTAAGTGTCTTTATCACATACCAGCATTCTGCTCTATGTCTAATCCTCATTCATGGCTCTGAAGTTGTGAATGAGCGCAACACCTCTGTCACCTGTAGACACTCCCCTTCCAACTCCAAGCAGGCTTCAAACTGTTCAGAATCAAAGCCTGTTAGAGTTTTATTTCTCCAAGATGCTTCATTTTGGAGGGAAAGGGCTTCTCCTCTGAATAATGGAATAGAGGAGCAAAGGACATTACCCAAATCAGAGTGTTTTCTTCCCAGAGGGAATATGCAAACACCCTTTTTGCTTCAAAAGGAGTAAGAGTGATGTGATTTGGTTCTCACCAACTTACTAGCCCTTCCACCCTGAGAGAGCTGTGGAAGTCATACTCTATGTCACCTGCCTTTTGTCTTTGGCTGGAAACTGCCCAAGTAGCAGCACGATCCTGGAAGTAATAGCAATAGGATGTAGGTGCTGGGCTGAGCTTGCCCCTAAGTACGCCCTCAATGCTTGCCCATAATCGCGATTTACTTTCCTGGCCATCACTCATTCAGGTCCATCAGAAATGGCTTCTTAATGAGACTGAAAGTTCTTTCGAATGAAGATTAATAGCATGTTAAAATGTTTTCATTGCAATCTTATTAAGTGGAAGAATCTGCTTCCTACACTTCCTTTCTATACCTTCTCGTCTCTAGGTAATAGCATTTCTTTGGATCAAGATAACAGCAGTTTAAGTCAACTTTATTGACCTGAGAAAACTGCTTGTTACTTTAACATGAGATGCTTCCTGGCTGCTGCCCATTGTAGAGAGTGCTTATTCAATTAAAAAAGAATCTTAACGGGGAACTCCATTGCTTCCATTTAGGTTTCATTGTGTTTTGAATATGAAATGTCCCCCATCGGTTCATGTGCTTGAATGTTTGACCCCTTGCTGATGGTGCTGTTTTGGAGAAGGTTTCAGGACCTTAATAGGAGGATCTGGAAGTGGCCTCCTGTGGGAGGATGCTCTTGTACACTGTAAAGATTTGCCACTCGTACTGGTTTAATGCAATGCTGATTGGCCAGTAGCTAGGCAGGATGTATAGGTGGGGCAATCAGACTAGGAAAATTCTGGGAAGAGGAAAGGCAGAGATGTAGTCACTGGCCAGACACAGAGGAAGCAAGATGAGAAAGCCTTACTGAGAAAAGGTACCAAGCCACATGGCTAAATATAGATAAGAATATGGATTAATTTAAATAGTAAGAGCTAGTTAGTAATAAACCTGAGCAATAGTCCAAACAGTTTATAATGAATATAAGCCTCTGTGTGTTTATTTGGGATAGAATGGCTGTAGGACTGGGCAGGATAGAAACTTTCATCTACAAACCACTTCAGGCAAAGCCTTGAGGTTTTCCAACCTGGCCCATTGTCCTGTCTACTCTCTGCTTCCTGACTGCAGACACAGTATCATCCTTTACTTTATGTTCCAGCTGCCATTCCTTCCTCACCATGACTGACTATATTTTTTCTTTAACTGTAAGCCCTAATAAGCCTTCTCCCCTTAGGTTGATCCTTGTTAGATCTTTGGTCATAATAAGGAGAGAAGTAATTAAATCATACCCAAGTGAAGACAGAAAACAGATGCTCACCTGTGCCAGAGCTACGTCACATGCTAAACAGCCACAGGTTGCGTTTCTGCTTGTGAAAAGAAGTCTTACAAAATGGGATTTTCTTCACCAGCCGCGAAGATTAGCCTAGATTCTTGGAGTCTTTTGGTGGAGTCTATGGTGACCAGATACTCTGAATTCCAATAATAAATATAATAACATTTATTGAGGATATCATACAAGATATAAAGTATCAAAAGCTGAGGTAGAGGTTAAGCCTTGTATCCAAGTTGATGCAGCTGATAAAGATGAAGCTGGGATTAGAATCCAGGAAGTCTGACGGAGAATCTGACCTTTTAGTCATATCATCTCTGGATGTGAATTTTCCATATATTCATCAAGTTCAGTGACATTGTCAATGAGAATAGGTCAATGACCGGTGAAGCATTCTGCCTTTTTCTCAGCCGAGATCACTCTGGCAACTTGATATAGACTTGTTTATCTGGAATCATAGATTTGTTCTTATTTCCCTCTGTTCTGCACAGAATTTAGAGGAGGGAAACCGTGAGTTCTGCTGTAGAGTTCCTCTGTAGGCGTGAAGTCAAGCAGGGAGTTCTGGGTTCATGCAGATTTGTGGGCACCATCCCCTGAGGCAACTTTCAGGATGCATCTCTTTCTGTCTAGCCTCCACCTAGCCTCTTTTATTTCCCCTCTTCATAGTTAAACTTTGTTTTTAAGATACATTCATCCAGAAGAGAGTCTCTCCCTGGAGCATCTTCCAAAAGTGGCTGCTATCATGAAGATGCCTGTATTTGTTTGCTTTCTGTTGCTGTAATAAATAAACTGAAGATGGTAATACACAAAGAAAAGAAAAGGTCAGTAGCCCCACTAACTTCCGGTGAGGGCTTTATTTGGGTCACTGTGTGGCAGATGACTTTGGGTTGTAGCGTATCTAACATGGAGAGAGGTCATGCTGAGAAATGGCATGGCAGCTGGAAGAGGGGCCAGCATTACTCTTTATAAGAATTCTTAGTAAAATTTATTTTACTTCATGTATTTATTTGTCCATGAGATGGGATCTAATTATTTAGTCCACTTGTTCTTGAACTTGCTATGTTGTTCTGGCTTGATCCAAATTTAGTATCGTCCTGCCTCCACACCTTAAATAACAACTCTTACTTATTGAGGGAACTAACCAAGCCCCATGGAAGCTAGCCCAATGTCTTCTAAAGGTCACATCCACAATGATGGAACTAATCCCCACCGGGTCTTCCTCCTAGTGACTCCATCACTTCCTGTCTCACCACACTCAGGACTAAGCTTCTAATGTATGAACCCTTAGGGGACATCCTGAAACCACATCTATTCCATAGTAACATCCGCAGAGCCTCACCAGAATAGGAAAGAACAGATAC